CTTTACAAACCTTACAACACATTCAGCACTTTACAACACTTTCAGCCCCTTACAACACATTCTTCTTACTTCATCTTCTTCACTTCTTCCTCTTCTTCCCCTTCTTCCTCTTCTTCCCCTTCTTCCTCTTCTTCCTCTTCTTCCCCTTTCTTCCTCTTCTTCCCCTTCTTCCTCTTATTCCTCATCTTCCCCTTCTTCCTCTTCTTCCCCTTCTTCCCTTCTTCTTCTTCCCCTTCTTCCCCTTCTTCTTCTTCCTCCTCCTCTTCCTTCTTCTTCTTTCCTCTTCTTCCCTTTTCTTTCTTCTTCCTTCTTCTTCCCCTTCCTCTTCCTTCTTCATCCCTAACCCTTCCAACATCTATGCAGCCACTCACAATGGCTTCAGCCATTGTACCATTTCTAGTTGATTGACTGCGGAACTTTCCGCAGTCAACCATTGGTTTTGTATTTCTTTATTCCGTCATTTTTTTTGACACGTTTCACAGCTTTCACATTTTCAACAATTTCCACAAGTTTATACATCAAAACGTTCCACATGTTTGGGAGATTATTGCTATTACTTTTGGGACTTCAGCGATTTCCGGTTTTTCCGCAATCGGACAAAAATCTGCATGGAGAATTCTGCAATGCATTTTAATAGGCCCATGCATTTTAATAGGACTTCAGCTCTTTCAGACATTTCTACAGTTTCAATGATTCAACAGTTTCAAGGATTCAACAGTTTCAAGGATTTCAGCAGTTTCAAGATTTCAAGAGTTTCAAGGACTTCAACAGTTTCAAGGACTTCAGCAGTTTCAAGGACTTCAGCAGTTTCAAGGACTTCAGCAGTTTCAAGATTTCAAGAGTTTCAAGGACTTCAACAGTTTCAAGGACTTCAGCAGTTTCAAGGACTTCAGCAGTTTCAAGGACTTCAGCAGTTTCAAGATTTCAAGAGTTTCAAGGACTTCAACAGTTTCAAGGACTTCAGCAGTTTCAAGGACTTCAGTGTAATCATGCAACCTAATAGGGATTTTTCCATGTAAACCAGTATAATGCAACTTAATAGGGATTTTTCCATGTAAACCAGTATAATGCAACTTAATAGGGTTTTTTCCATGTAAACCAGTATAATGCAACTTAATAGGGGTTTTTACATGTAAACCAGTATAATGCAACTTAATAGGGTTTTTTCCATGTAAACCAGTATAATGCAACTTAATAGGGTTTTTTCCATGTAAACCAGTATAATGCAACTTAATAGGGTTTTTCCATGTAAACCAGTACAATGCAACTTAATAGGGATTTTTCCATGTAAACCAGTATAATGCAACTTAATAGGGTTTTTTACATGTAAACCAGTATAATGCAACTTAATAGGGATTTTTCCATGTAAACCAGTATAATGCAACTTAATAGGGTTTTTTACATGTACACCAGTATAATGCAACTTAATAGGGTTTTTTCATGTAAACCAGTATAATGCAACTTAATAGGGTTTTTTTTCATGTAAACCAGTATAATGCAACTTAATGGGGATTTTTCCATGTAAACCAGTATAATGCAACTTAATAGGGGTTTTTACATGTAAACCAGTATAATGCAACTTAATAGGGTTTTTTCCATGTAAACCAGTATAATGCAACTTAATAGGGTTTTTTCCATGTAAACCAGTATAATGCAACTTAATAGGGTTTTTTCCATGTAAACCAGTACAATGCAACTTAATAGGGATTTTTCCATGTAAACCAGTATAATGCAACTTAATAGGGTTTTTTACATGTAAACCAGTATAATGCAACTTAATGGGGATTTTTCCATGTAAACCAGTATTATGCAACTTAATAGGGATTTTTCCATGTAAACCAGTATAATGCAACTTAATAGGGATTTTTCCTTGTAAACCAGTATAATGCAACTTAATAGGGTTTTTTTCATGTAAACCAGTATAATGCAACTTAATGGGGATTTTTCCATGTAAACCAGTATTATGCAACTTAATAGGGATTTTTCCATGTAAACCAGTATAATGCAACTTAATAGGGTTTTTACATGTAAACCAGTATAATGGAACTTAATAGGGGTTTTTACATGTAAACCAGTATAATGGAACTTAATAGGGGTTTTTACATGTAAACCAGTATAATGCAACTTAATAAGGATTTTTACATGTAAACCACTATAATGTAACCTAATAGGGGTTTTTACATGTAAACCAGTATAAAGCAACTTAATAGGGATTTGTACATGTAAACCAGTATAATGCAACCTAATAGGGATTTTTCCATGTAAACCAGTATAATGCAACTTAATAGAGATTTTTCCATGTAAACCAGTATAATGCAACTTAATAGGGATTTTTCCATGTAAACCAGTATAATGCAACCTAATAGGGATTTTTCCATGTAAACCAGTATAATGCAACCTAATAGGGATTTTTCCATGTAAACCAGTATAATGCAACCTAATAGGTTGCATTATACCACCAGACCAAGACCCAAACGAAGACTCAGACCACCACCAGATAATGACCACAGACCAGGTTTCCTTAGTTACAGGAACCAAATTGTTTCAGCGGTGAGGGGATTTTTCAGTTTCAAGGACACTTTCAATACATTCAGTAGTTTCAAGGATTTCAACTGTTTAAGAATTTAACCAGTTTCAAGGATATCAGGAGGTTCAAGGATTTCAGGAGTTTCCACACTTTCAACAGTTTCCAGGTTTAAAAAAAGTTTCAAGGATTTCAGGAGTTTCAATGTTTCAACAGTTTCAAGGATTTCGGGAGTTTAAAGGTTTCAACAATTTCAAGGACTTCAGGAGTTTCAAATATCTATCAAGTATTTTAACAGTTTCAAGGCCTTTTAAAGGATTTCAAGGATTTTTTTTAGCAGATTTCCACATTAGATCTGTTCCGCAGTCAATCGCAATGGCTTCAGCCTGCGGAACAGATCTAATGTGGAAATCTGCATCCTTGAAATCCTTTAAAAGGCCTTGAAACTGTTAAAATACTTGATAGATATTTGAAACTCCTGAAGTCCTTGAAATTGTTGAAACCTTTAAACTCCTGAAATCCTTGAAACTGTTGAAACATTGAAACTCCTGAAATCCTTGAAACTTTTTTTAAACCTGGAAACTGTTGAAAGTGTGGAAACTCCTGAAATCCTTGAACCTCCTGATATCCTTGAAACTGGTTAAATTCTTAAACAGTTGAAATCCTTGAAACTACTGAATGTATTGAAAGTGTCCTTGAAACTGAAAAATCCCCTCACCGCTGAAACAATTTGGTTCCTGTAACTAAGGAAACCTGGTCTGTGGTCATTATCTGGTGGTGGTCTGAGTCTTCGTTTGGGTCTTGGTCTGGTGGTATAATGCAACCTATTAGGTTGCATTATACTGGTTTACATGGAAAAATCCCTATTAGGTTGCATTATACTGGTTTACATGGAAAAATCCCTATTAGGTTGCATTATACTGGTTTACATGGAAAAATCCCTATTAAGTTGCATTATACTGGTTTACATGGAAAAATCTCTATTAAGTTGCATTATACTGGTTTACATGGAAAAATCCCTATTAGGTTGCATTATACTGGTTTACATGTACAAATCCCTATTAAGTTGCTTTATACTGGTTTACATGTAAAAACCCCTATTAGGTTACATTATAGTGGTTTACATGTAAAAATCCTTATTAAGTTGCATTATACTGGTTTACATGTAAAAACCCCTATTAAGTTCCATTATACTGGTTTACATGTAAAAACCCCTATTAAGTTCCATTATACTGGTTTACATGTAAAAACCCTCTTAAGTTGCATTATACTGGTTTACATGGAAAAATCCCTATTAAGTTGCATAATACTGGTTTACATGGAAAAATCCCCATTAAGTTGCATTATACTGGTTTACATGCAAAAAACCCTATTAAGTTGCATTATACTGGTTTACATGGAAAAATCCCTATTAAGTTGCATTATACTGGTTTACATGGAAAAATCCCTATTAAGTTGCATTATACTGGTTTACATGGAAAAATCCCCATTAAGTTGCATTATACTGGTTTACATGTAAAAACCCCTATTAAGTTGCATTATACTGGTTTACATGGAAAAATCCCTATTAAGTTGCATTGTACTGGTTTACATGGAAAAAACCCTATTAAGTTGCATTATACTGGTTTACATGGAAAAAACCCTATTAAGTTGCATTATACTGGTTTACATGGAAAAAACCCTATTAAGTTGCATTATACTGGTTTACATGTAAAAACCCCTATTAAGTTGCATTATACTGGTTTACATGGAAAAATCCCCATTAAGTTGCATTATACTGGTTTACATGAAAAAAAACCCTATTAAGTTGCATTATACTGGTTTACATGAAAAAAACCCTATTAAGTTGCATTATACTGGTTTACATGGAAAAATCCCTATTAAGTTGCATTATACTGGTTTACATGGAAAAATCCCTATTAGGTTGCATGATTACACTGAAGTCCTTGAAACTGCTGAAGTCCTTGAAACTGCTGAAGTCCTTGAAACTGCTGAAGTCCTTGAAACTGTTGAAGTCCTTGAAACTCTTGAAATCTTGAAACTGCTGAAATCCTTGAAACTGTTGAATCCTTGAAACTGTTGAATCATTGAAACTGTAGAAATGTCTGAAAGAGCTGAAGTCCTATTAAAATGCATGGGCCTATTAAAAATGCATTGCAGAATTCTCAATGCAGATTTTTGTCCGATTGCGGAAAAACCGGAAATCGCTGAAGTCCCAAAAGTAATAGCAATAATCTCCCAAACATGTGGAACGTTTTGATGTATAACTTGTGGAAATTGTTGAAAAATGTGAAAGCTGTGAAACGTGTCAAAAAAAATGACGGAATAAAGAAATACAAAACCAATGGTTGACTGCAATAATGATAATAATAATAATAATATAATGATAGTGATAATAATAATATATTATAATAATTGAACGTTATTCATACGTATAGCCTTACTTTTGTGTGAGCTGTGTTTTCTGCCCATGCAGCCCCTCCTGAGTGGAGTGTTGTGAATGACCCAGCGTTCAGCCGGAAACCCCGCTGTGCTCAGGTGAACCGGGCCCAACACTGCAGCTGTGACGCAGGTTTTCACATGAGCGGAACCTCTGACAACAGCATCTGTCAGGGTGAGGCCACGAACACAAGTTAATCATTGTTATCGTTATGAATGGACATATTTCAGACAGAAACCAGCCAAGTTCTGTTGGGGCTGTAATGTTAGTAAGAATGAATTAGATGGAATATTTATCATCACAGATTAGCGTAACATTTTCTACATATGTAGGCCACTGGTTTTCAAATTAGCCAATGGACACTTAAACCTTTAAATTTCACTCCTTGAAGAAAGCAATGTCCTTTTTTTCTCTTTTAAGATGTACTATAGGCCTTTACCAAATGCTTGAGATGCAGTTTGATGATAAAAGTGCTTTAAATCAAGTGAGATGTCCCAAAGAGGTATATTTCATTTCCTAGCATACACTGACTCAAGCGCTGATCTACCAAATGGTTGAGGCAACTTAATAATGGCCATTTTGACTCATTATGAACACATGTTGGTGTATACTCCTCACAAGACTTCAGGAGAAATGCAATAGATGGACCAGACACAGATACACACATAAGAAAACACATCATAATCTGTTGCACCACCACCTCACCCTTGGGCTCCAGAACACTCCACATCACATCTGCCAGATCTGTGATGTCATAGGTGGAGCTCTGGAGGTTTTATCTGCTGTTTTCATCTCCAGTCTCATTCTGAGATTTTTGGCATTTATTTTAATAGTAAGCTTTTATGGTGCTAATGTACTTTTTAGATATTTTTTTATTATCTTTTATAGTAATGTATAGTTTAGTATTTGCCTTATCTATACATACATTATGGCTTGTACAAGTGAAATAATACAGGCAATGTATAAAAGGTTCTAATGCAGAATGCAACTTCTTTTTTTACCTAAACCGTGCACTGCCAGGTGGGTTACGGATGAAGTGAAAGAGGATACATTGAGAGTCAGTGTGAGGAGTGTTGGCAGGAAGAAAATGGGTAAGTAAAGTGATACAAGACCGAACAATAGACCAAATAAAGGGTAAAGTGAGGTATGTGTGCGTTACCATATTAGCAGCAAGGCACAGACAAACAAAATAATCCATTCCAGAGGTCCCAAGCTGATTATAGCCATTTAGGTCACTCTACAATTTCTAGTGTATACTGAATAATAGCAGGTTGAATAACATGTGAAAGCAGTATTAACCAATCAATCCAAGCCAAGAAAATGGAAACGTAAGTGTCGACACCCCGCATTTCATGACTGTGTTTTTCTACAGATGTAAACGAGTGTGAAGTGTATCGACTGGACCAGGGAGGAAAGTTATGTGTCCATGAATGTGTGAACGTCCCGGGCTCCTACCACTGCTCCTGCCCCAGCGGCTACAAGCTGCTCTCGGATGGGCGTAGCTGTGAGGGTGAGTGACAGGGCGAAACAGAGGACAAAGACTCATTCAGTGCACTGGCTGCTGCTGCTGGAGAATTGAGCTCTAATGTCAGAAAGAAATACTTGCAAATTGCACAGTGCATTTGCCAAAACACACAGGAATTCCTATCATATATTTGGTAATTGATATTGTGCGTGTTTAATTCAGAGACATAACTTTCAAACCACAACCAAATTCACAATGTTATTAAATATATGTAGTACCTTGCTTTATCACTAGTTTTCACATGCATGTATTTTTGGCTTCTGTCACATCTTTAGATCACCTTCTTCAGACAGTAGTCGGACCACCATCACTCAGTCTTTAGCTCTAACCCAAATAATCTAGGGACTAAAGACAAATGCGACAGTTTTGGCCTAATTTGTTCTCCACATTTTGCTCATAAAAGACACTTTATGTTGGGAAAAATTAAATGGTTGATAATAAATGACTTCAATGTTCTGTTCTTTTTGCCCACTACTTTCATTTGCATCACTGTAGCCGAGCAGAAGTCCGTGGAACACATGACTTCACCTCTTAAACTAAAAAAGAAAGAAAATCATTCGGACATGAGGCTTTTTTGGGAGACTAAACGAAAAACCAAATAAACACCCCCATCTCTGACTGTGGTAACCAGGAAAACCACGTTCAGCCTGGCCAGTCTCCCCCTCTCCCTTCACTCCGCTAACATGACTGCTGCTGTTTGGTCTTCCAGATGTGGACGAGTGCCTGAGCCAGAGGCACAACTGCACCAACGGGACAACGTGTATAAACACAGGAGGAGGCTTTCAGTGCGTCAGTCCCGAGTGTCCCCGCTCACAGGGACACATCCATTACGTCAAGACATCACCTTTGTAAGTTTTTACTGGACTAATAAACGCTTACTTTTGCCATGCATGTTACTTCTTGTGTTGTGCTTGAAGGTTCACACACCCAGGCAGAAATACACTATATATACACTTTTCAGTGATTGTTCGAGTTTGTGTGAAGCTATTTCTTCAAATAAATTTTATTTCTTGTCAAATAAACTTTCTATTTTCAATTTCTAATGACAATAGAAACTACACAAAAGACCCTGATTAGTAGTAATTAATCTTTATTTATATACCACCTTTTCACTGCACATCGGAGTCTCAAAGCGGTTTACAATTGTTATTTTTAGGGCAATTGTCCTCTCACTCCACAAAGAGATGGGAGCAGGGTCGCCAGTACAGAACATATTTTTAGTGGTAGGGGAAACCGGAGTACGAACCTACACAGACACAGGGAGAACATGCAAACTCCACTCAGAAAGGCCCTGGTCTGATCGGGATTTGAACCCAGGACCTTCTTGCTGAGAGGCAAGAGTGCTATCCACTCAGCCACCGTGCTGCCCACGGTTGCCATTAGGAGTTTCCATCGCCCAGTTCTGAACACCGTTCAGATGCTCTTTAACATCTATGAGTCTTGATGGTAAAGCTGCCGATTCTTCTTGGCAAAAAGCCTCCAGTTACTGTAAATTCCTGGGACACGTTGCATGAACTGCATATTTTGAGATCTCCCCAGCGTAGATATTATAATTATAAAACGCGTTCGTTTGGCTTCAGACAACCATTAACACTGAGTTGTTATACTTAATCTCCAAAATATGGCCAAAATAATGACATTTCGGATGCAACTGTATAGTATCACAATAGAGGTTCTTTTACTCTTTAGTATTTGTTTCATTCCATGTAGCACAAAATTCCATAATCTTTCATATTGGTCCTTTTTCTTTTTTCTTTGTATAAATAATATTTCTGAAATGTGTCCTCAGTCAGTGTGAGAGGAACCCCTGCCCCATGGACAGTCGCTCCTGTCAGCTCGCTCCTAAAACGGTGTCTTTCCACTACCTGTCGCTGTCGTCCCGCCTGCAGACGCCTGCCACTCTGTTCCGGATGGCCACAGCCACTGCCCCGGGGCGCACGGGGCCCGACAGCTTGCGCTTTGGGATCGTGGGCGGTAACTCCAGGGGCATGTTTGTGATGCAGCGCTCGGACAGACAGACCGGAGAGCTGATCCTGGTGCAGCAGCTGCAAGGCCCTCAGGAGGTCAGCATCGACGTGGATATGTCCGAATACAGCGATCGTGTCTTCCAGGCCAAACATGTGGCCAAAGTTCACATACTGGTGTCACCATACAACTTTTGATATATGAAGAACCCATCTGATATTTTGACTTGATTTTCTACAAACATATTTGTTTTTAATCTGCAGAAAAACAGAAATGTTTGACATCTTAAAGTTTCATGAGATTTTACTGCGGCTCAGGATCTGTGTAGGTCTGACGCTTATGCACTTTTATATTTCCTAGTTTTAATAGTACATCAAAGGCTTAATTTATTGGAAATATAGTTGGTATTTTTATACTTATTTTTTTCTATTGATCATATACTGTATATTTGCTTATGGTTGAGTCCAATGTTACATTATAATGTATGTAGGGCTGCAGTTACTGTATACTGTACCGAAGCATATTTGCTGTATTAGTCATATTCTTTATATTACCCAGAGACACACATTTTTAAATCAAAGACTTTACGGTGAGCTTTCCAGGGCACAAGTCAGTCTGCCTGGAATTTGAATTATCACAACATAATTGAAATAAAGTCGGTCCAAAACTTCACAATTTGTTAAGAGCTACATTTTCTGAGATTGAACACTGGACTATTGAATATCATTGTGGCAGCCGTTTCTATTTTACCTCCATTGAAGGTGATTTTTAAAGAGTGAAAGGCACACCAGTGCATATTTGAAAAATGAATAATAATCTGTACAGTATACCAAGAGACTGTGAGAAAAAGAAATGACAGATGTGGTTTGAAACAAGAGGTGCAAAAGGGGGTAAATGACACAAAGAGGTATTTAAAAAGTGTTTCAATAGTAGACTTATGGAGGAATCATTCTGCGGCCTTTTGTTACCGCTCTCAGTGCCAAAGACAATTCAAAAGCATTAAGCAACATAAAATAATCCGCTTGTAATAAACGGGAGAAATGAAACTTGTGCCAGGCCTGAGGTTTGTACCGGTCACAAACTTTAACAGCTCAGTGGACGCATGGCCGTGGGCTGAATTGGCCCAAAACAAAACGGTGACATAATCCCTCATCATCGATGAATAGAAAGAACATGATTAGTTGTAATGCCTTAGCAACCTAAGTCCAAAACAGGGCAGCATGTTGAGGTCACTGCTTGTTTCCTGTGTGATAGGGCACCTATAGAGTGCATGACAGAGCAGGACATACAATGGTTGCGTTCCTTGTGAATTGAAATCATCCTGAAAGAACATATGAAAAGGTGCTACAGGTGAGTTCTTGGACATTTATAGGACAGGAAAAGGCTCTTAAATCTCACCCCTCCATGTACCCTTAAGTGCATACCCATAGCCTTAGGGTGTCCACTCCCCTGTATGGGAAATACTAATAAGTATTTGTAGCAGATCCGAACAGCTGTTCAGTGAAATATAATTTTTAACGCTGGATGAGTGGAAAAAGGATCTATGCGAGGACTATATGCATTGCAAATAAATAAGTTAAAATAACATAGCGTAGTTGATTTTATGTGAAAAGTGACAGAAAACCAAAATGATCTTATGAATTATTATTTAATCAGTGTACAGAATTCCTGCAGAGGAGAACTGCTGGTATAAAGAGCACACTTCCTCCCGATGCGTTTGCACCTGTGGAATTATGAAATAACAGGAATCAGCCAAAACCATCTGTACAAACAACCAGGTCCACTGCAGGTGTCTACAGTTTTATATAACACAAAATAGTGCCATAAAAAGCACAATTATCCCAACTTTCCAACCATCATAAAACAAAACAGTGAAACCCCATTCAGGCACGGCTTGTGCCTGTCCCGTAAGACCTGAATGGTTAAAATCGACATACAAGAAAACAGTATGTAAAATAAAAATGATTAACAACAAATACAGCAAAAGCAACTAAAGCGACAAGCTGCTGTTTGCATTTAACAGAGATAGAAATGGAAGAACACCTCGTAAACACATAGTAAACACGAAGAAGCCACATATGACAAACTATAAGTACACTTAATAAATAATAATGTCAACATACACAATAGTATATTGCTTATTTTGGAAAACAGAACAGCTTCCCACACACAGCAGATTCAAACGTTTACACAACTACAGATGAAGAAGAATCTGTTACTGAACCCAATAACAATTATATTAAAAGAATCTGTGCATCGATCACCAATACTGTAAACGTGCTCGCTGACAGTAAAGACTTCTCAATGACCTGGGCCCCTCACCAGGACGACACATAGGCACAGCTTTGATTTTCAAAGTGCATAAGAGCCAACATGAAACAGTGAAAGGTTATGTTTCCTGAAAGAACAGATGATAACGATCAGATGGACAACACACATACTTCAGACACATCGACATGTAAGTCCTTGGAGCCCTGAGCTGGGCAAAGATTTGAAGCAGACATGAAAACGTAGTGAGGCTTACGCAATAACTCAACACAAGAAAACAAGGCAAAGCTCATCTCTGGGACCTCGCATGGTAGCCTTTTTCTTGGACTTTTGTGAAAACCTAAACTTTACATTTCTAAATCAAATAAACAGTTCTAAATTCAATCTCCAATATGGTTGAATATTTTCACAAAATCCTCTTAAGGTTTATTTTCTTTGAAAACAGTCTCTACCTTTCCTCCACTCTCAGATACAAATGTATTGATACTGTCTCTCAAATAATGTTGTTATGGACCCTCGAATATACTTATCAGACAATGTTTATGTTCATGCATGAGGCATACTGCCCCTGCTAATCTCTGGTAAAATAAATGCAATTTTATGGAACAAAATAAATACAGCACTTAATAAAAAAACATTCTCTTTGGAAAAAAGGCTGGAAATGGATCACTTCAGGAGTCGGATCCACCATCAGTGCTTAGACTGCTGGAAGAGTTAAAACGACAAAGGTCTCAAACTTTTTCTTGTCGGCAGCAGAGCCGCACAGGAGCCTGGACAAAAACATGAAAATAAACACTTCACACTGAAACTTTTAAAAACTTGTTTTTAACCCAACAGAAAACATGACATACCAGAGTCCACTGAGGTCACGGAAAGAAAGCATCACTCCAGTTTGGACATCTCGTACTTGGTCGTCATAATTTCCTATAATGTGAATTAAAAAATGGTTATAATAATGGTTAAAATTAGAAATCAGAAAAAACTATGCTTTATAAAGAAATCGTAAGATACCTCATCTGAGTCGAGTAAGACAGGCAGAGCTCTGTGAACATGAAAATAAACTGTCAGATCAATAAAAGTCATTTGCAGATCTACGTATTGTTTTTTACAGCAATACAAAACAATTATGAGGCTTACATATCAGTAATTGAGCTAGGAATGTTGTCCTCCACCCATTTCAAGTCCTCATCCTGTAAAATGAACATGTGTTAAATGCTGCCCTCTACTGCACAGTGAGAAAACAGCATCTTTTCCACCGGATTTCGCATTGAGACTGTAACAAGAACTATTTATGGACCATAAATACATACAAACATACATACAAACATACATACACAACAATGTATCATTTCATAATTCTATGCAATTCTACTTTGTTCGGAATGGCAGAAAGATAAAAAATTAGTCCACTAAAAGATGGAAAACAATGATGAAATTATTCTTTTCCATCCTTTTGCAGCTTTCCCCACGTGGGTGGCGAATGTTCCGTTTTAAAGTAGAGACATCTTTCCCTAAGAACTTTTAAACACAATATTATCTATTCAAATCTACCAACATGTTATTGACACTGAGATTTCCACAAAGCACTAAAATACTGTGAAAATGTCTTGGTATTGTGCGTACCGGGTTGGCTTCTGCAGGTTTAGCAGAACCATTGGACTCATTTTTCGCTGCTCTCATTTTGATCCCGTCAGCTGAGAATACACACACAAATTCAAGAAATGCAACACAAAGCAAACCGAATGTGTTAATGAAATGTAAAGTTACCCATGTTTGAATTGGTCATAAACTCCTCTATTTCTTCATCGTCGTCAGAGTCGTCAATAAGAGGTGTGAAGGCATATCTTTGAGAAAATTAAACTGTTTAAAGCTTCAACAAGCAAACGCACGTCATGAGTGGCCCATGTACCTTTGGTTGTTTGCAGAGGGTCTCCATAGAAACATGATGACGAGCAGGATGATTGAAAACAAGAACCTCCAGAAGGCGTCTTCCACCCACAGCTCAATCCAGTCCTTTGAGACATTTAGGGGAAAACACATGTATTAATCTTGATAAGTTCCAGAGCAAGTTTCAAAAGTAGTCATCTGGTCTCCAGCGTAGAGACAATGAAAAAACTTAGATGACTTCTTTTGGATGGATCGGTCCTGAACGAATGAGGTAAGGCTGCACTATTTTGCCAAAATAAGTAATTATTTTTCTAACATATGACTTTGATTAGACTTACCATTCATGATCAAAGAGGATGATATCTCTCATGGTTAAATTTCTCAAACATTGTAGAGGTCCAAGTATACATAAAAAGGTTTCATTATTATTATATATTAAGTTAGAGTTACATTTGCTATCTTTATAAAAAAAAAAAAATCTACTGTTGAAAAAGCAGATTTGCGAATGAAACAAGTTTTACATATTTTTTCTTTCTAAATACAAGCATTAATTTGCATGGAATCAAAAAACAATGGTTGTTTGAACAATGTTTATACATTTTTGTACCAAAATAATTGCAACCTGTTAATTGCGGCCATGAAAATAGTGTTTTGACTGCGATTAATGGGGCATCACTAGAATAAGACATTACCCATTCATCTCTAAAAAATACTTTAATTAATAATTATATCATATTAGTGCTTTCAACACTTACTGACTGACAATCCGCAAGCCGAAATTTCTTTGCAATCCACACCATAAAGATGATGGAAGCTAATGAGAAGAAGAGTACATGTTAAATCACAGATCGGGTCTGGTTTCCTAAAGCTAGTGAGATCAACACTTACCAAGAACAGCAAATATCAGTGTGTTTGTAAAATGTCTGTAAAGAGACAGTTTGACCGGGTTTCTCCGCAGCTTCAGAGTCTTGATGGTTTGTGCCAAGCTCACGAATATGTGCATGAAGTCAAGGAGAACAAAACACTCATCTAGACTGGACAATAGTTTTTATATTGAGATTACTCAATGTGGAGTAGGATTCTTTGGGTTTCTGCAGGCGTGCGTTTTATGCGTTTTAAACATTGTATAGTTTTTCAATTCACTTTAAAAAATATCTACCCATGCTTAGCCATGTTGACTGTAAAATCAAAGCAAGAAATGTATGCAGCATTTAACATGTACTGTATTTTAAATACTGAAAAATATGCATATTATTCTTTGAGCAGGGACAGATATTGAAAACATCAGTAGACTGATGCATGCATCGTGGTGCTCATAACCAAAGCTTTTTTCCAGCACTTATATTTATACAACACCAGATTTTGAGACCTGCAGGAACCCTGTTTAATGGATTGTAAAGAAAAAGGCAATTTCACTAATGCATGTTTAGAATATTATTTAGATCAGTGGTTCCCAAAGTAGGGGTCAGGACCCTGACGGGAGTCATGGGACACAAGTAGCGAAATTATCCCAAAAATTCAAAAAAAAAAATCTTTTTTTTTTTAAACATAATTTCTACATATTGTTTTTTTTTATTTCTATGACAAACATTTCAGAGTCCCGACCTGAAATGTTTGGGAACCCCTGTTTAAGCTGAAGGTGTATGATACACAGCACTTGGGCCCCTGGCTCGGCCCAGTTGTGTGAATGAGGAGCAGCGGAAAGGTGCATGAAAGGATATCCACCAGCAGAGAGAGGAGTCAAGCAGAGCCAGGGGAATGTTGGCCAGCAGGGCCAAGTCTGAGTCTTTCGCCTACAGAGGCCACGGTCAGGACAGGAACATAGAAAAGGAGGGGAAAGAGCAGGGATCAAATCAACCAGGATCAGAGACTTTAAAGTAACTCAGCAAATACGACATGGAAATAGGGATGTCAAGATTATTAGGTTCAACTACAAATGTGATTTCATTCAATTTTCCATTCAATCAATAGCTCTTCAGTATATTCCATTAGTTGACATCATGTCGCTTTTTAGCCAAGTATAATAGAACTATGAGCGTGTTCACATGAGAAGCAAATGCACCACATCACTGAACTATTTTAAGTGAGCTGAGGCGACTAGTGAACAATTCCACAAATTTCCACAAATTGCATGATTAGCCTCAAAGGGTAAATGTGAACAACTCAAACAAATTAAGGTTTTCATGATTGCGTGCCAAACGTAAAATTCTGTCGTTATTTAAAATCTTGACATTCCTATATAAAACCAATGACCAAAGAAAATAGAAGAAAATTCAAAATTCAAAACAAAAGTTGATTTCATGTAGGGAGCAACGGTTTAACAAATTCAGTATTCTGATAAAAGGGTAGTAACTGGAAGGATATGAACCAGATGGCACAGGAATCGAGTATGGCAAGAACAACTTCAGTTATGAGAGCTGCGCCATTGTCCCGACCCTTGAATACGGACGTACCGAAAAATACATCATTATTTTACAAAGAAATTGAATTGAACAAGCCAATTATTTTGTGTAGATACAATTTTGTTGAATAAAACAATTGCCAGTTTTGCTTGTCTGAATGACTCACCCCTGTAATTCTTAGGACACCTTCAATGCTCGCAAAGGCAAAGTAGAGTATCCCCAAACCAACAACTCTGTGCATGACGGTTCCTAATCGAGGCCTGAAATGATGAACAAATGACATTTAACTTCATGAAACAAGCAATAAGAAAGATAAGTGGTTGCAATACATACTTTACAATACCGTACCCAAGACTAACAATGATGACAAGCAGTCGAGCGAGGGTCCTCTTTAGGGCAGATATCAGTTCAGCAAAAATCAGCAATCCTGAAGCTGTAAACCACAAATCTGTTCAAACGTCTGTTCTAAAGTCCAGGTAAACATATAGTCGTGCTTGGAAGTTTACTTCCATATTCTGGAGATTATGAATGATAACACAAACACCCCTTCGATTGTTAGGGGTTGTGTGAAGAAATACATTGTCAAATAAATTAATTTTGCATTTTCAAATTATAACATCATTGAGCGCTGTGTGGATATTTCAAACGTGTAGTTAATGCAAGACAGCCCAGGAATGGTAGGCTTTTCACTAAGAATGGGCAGCTTTACCATCAAAGAGGATAACGACCTTCATCCACAACTACCAAAGAAGACAGATAATGTCATAGTAAAGGGGGCAAAATCACCCATATTATTCGAAATATCTGAAATATGGTCAGTAAACGTGACGTTTCTGCTTGGGTGTGTAAACTTCCAAGCACTGTATGTAGCACACACCCATTGATTACTCACTAGCAGAGCCGACAGCATTTGTGTTTTCATATTCAGCACAGAAGACCGCCTTCTCCACCATCCCCAGGAATATAACCCCTGCAATCCAGAACTGAATCCGCAGCAGGTCTTTCCAGTAGCAGGCCGCCCACACGAACCAGAGCAAAGCGTACAAGATGTAGACAATACACATCACCATATAGAACTAACAAGAAGTACACAACACAGCATTTAGAAAGATATGAACACTTTTTATAAACTGCTGGTGTCTTAAACATTATAGTGTGTTAACTGACTTACTATCATTAAAGGCCACTCTGTAATGGAAATGTAGCCATGTTCACCTTGCATCACTATATCAACTGAAAGATAACAAACATATCAGTACAATGAATGGCCAACATATTTTTCTACTAAATATTAGCTAAATATGTTTCTGTGTCAATAAATCGCTTCTTACGTGTTAAATTCCAGTTTGAGTTAGTGTTTGCCAGTATCTTCACCACCAGCAGATATGGTCCATCTCTCCATGTGGTGGCAATTACATTGTCTTTAACACCCACACTGCCATCCGTCTCCTTTTTGGACTCATACTCTTCAAGAATGAGTCTACTATAATTTGAATCCTAGATGTGACATAAAAAGATGAGGAAATTGTTATAAACACATGTGACACTGATTCAACAAGAAGTGAAAACACTGTTCAAACCGGATTCTTAGGGTCAAGGGGAGGACCTGCAGGGCGCGGTTCTGCCTTTGCTTTCTGAAATAACAGCACAAATTGAAAGCATCCACCTGAATCAGCTTTGACGAAAGATAAAACATTTCTAACTCACATTGAGCATGGGGAAAGTGCGCAGCTGGTTGTTACATGTTATGGTCTTGTGTTGGTGTTCAATGACTTCTCCTTGGTCCATAGGGTTTGGATCCAGGCCTTGGCCTCGATTTAACGGTGTTCGTTCATACATTTCCTGGAAACATTTCATACTTGCAATATTGTATATCTAAATAAACAGTTTACTAAAACAAATTGAATGATACTTACATCAATATTATTAAACTCATTATGACACGGGTAATATTTTAAAAGCCAGTGGATGGTGAAATCCACATTCTGAGGACAATCGAATGCTATCACTGCAAGACAAAGCCTTAACTTATTACTAAAATAGTGGCATAATATTGATATATATATATGTGTATTTTAATTCTTCTGTACCTTTCAATTTGATGTCTGTTTTACTGTACATAGATTTTCTAATCAGAAGTGGGTGCGATGACTGCGGAACAACAATACAAATCAATATTATTCTAAGCATATCGTATAACACACCTACACACAGGCGCACCAGATACATTGTAGGAACTTAAATAATATGTTCCTTCAATATATTTCAGACACATTTGGCTTGAACATTATTCACATAACAAAAGGAGCATATACGAAATATAATATAATATATAATACCAAACTAAATGAAAGAAAAGTCAACCACAAAACCAAATCTTCCAAACAGAAGCTGAATAATTGATCCCCTGATGTTGTCATCAGGGGGTTTTGCGGAATGCATCTACTAGTATTTGAGCCATGGATGCATACAGTCATGTGCGCGAGAACATGCATTGTTTTTAAGGAAAGGTGTAATGACTTTGGGAAAGCATAGAGTCTGAACTAGCATACACACGTCCAACAAGTTTAACACACAATGTTAAGACATTTAACCAACTACATAACTTAGGGCAGTAGACATATGAACAATTATCATAAAGAAGCATGTGAAGCCACTCATCCTGAATGCCATAGACTGGATATTAGCATTACAGTGCTAACAAACACAAATCCTGACTGTAGCTCCGAGACTGCGGTACGTGATCGCTGCTAACGACAAACTTACATTTCCAAGAACGATTTTCCACACTCCGGGCTCTGGGGCTGCACATGATGTATGGAATGTGCAGAATAAAAGCAGAGATAAGAGGGGCCAGGGACACAAAATCCGGGTGACAGGACTTCTCCACGTCCGCATCTCCGCATCCGCCGCCATGTTGGATGTGTACGACGCAAAAGCACGTAACTCATGACGTCATCAGAACGTGAAGCAAACGCGTTTTTTGAGAAAACTGCAACAAAACTGGCATTGGTGGATTTCAATGTATTACTTTGTGTTGCCTAATTATGTATAATTTTTCAAGTTAATTTAACAAAAATATTGATAAATTGTTAAAAGACATGAACTGTGTTCACAGTTAATTCACAAACACAACATTCACCCATAATTTTCAAACAACAAATTTAAAAGTGTAACTCTCACATATTTGTACTCAAGTATGTAATATGTAAACATTTACAGATGGTTTTCTGTTGGAACAAATTAAATGTGTTATTTATGAAGTTAGATACCCCACCTTTAGTAATATTGTGAGACATCAAAATTACTTTGTAGAGTTACTGGTTTAGCGTCACTGTTTTGAGGAATATTTGACAACAACAAAAAACTGCACACAGCTATGAATGTTAATGTAACAAAATATAATATCTTTAATAATTATAACTTTACTTTAAAACAAAAATTTACTCTTTCTAACAAACAATATGTACAAAAGGTATACATTACATTATGCAATTCATGTAAGTAAACAATTCACAGTTTAGTGCACCTCAAGCTTATTGAAGATTTGCAACTAATCAATCATTTGAAAAACACCAAAATAGGCATTTTACAATTAAAAACACTGGCCTTATGAAAAATGACTCACTACTCAAAATAATACTGTGCAAAACATTAGTGGTGAGTAAAAATGGGGTCAACTGTGAACATTATAGTAAACGATTCCCTGGTTGGGAAACACAGGAGGTATATTGATGAATATTGACACAACGATCCAACATACAGACTATATATAATTCACAACATTTCAGTCAAACCAGGAATGTCCAAACTATGGAAGGGGCATTTTCCCGCTGAATTGGTCCAGATTATCCTACTGTTGATGTGAGACGGATGCAATAAGATTTTAAGATTATATTTGGATTGATGATTGCACATTTAAATCTCAGATAAAACCAACTTTGTTTCAATAGTTGGTGTATTTTTCAATATGACAGTAATGACACCCTCAAAAAAAAAACGTTTAGACATCCCTGACCAATTTTTAAATGGCCACAAAGTGTCTAGTCTAAAGTGTCTGCTACATTGTTCATGTGAAAACTTGAAGAACAGAAATCTTCATGATAATTTAATCTGCACAGTAGTTGATCCTCACAACAGTGAAGAATTATCACTTGTGCTGGGGTCGCTGTGTCCACTCACTCGACTTGCGGTGTCATTTGTTAAGAGTGGAACGTTGGCTGCTGCAGGTCTTAGAGACGGATCAGAGGAAATGACCACAACATATCGATCTTCCCCATCTTCCTCTTCGTCACCCAAACTCCCATGAATGTCAGCTGTGACAACCGAGCTCTCGGCTGCCCTCTGGTGGTGGCTACAAGAGGGGGAGGAGTCAAAGGCAGCATGCTCCAGATCATATTCTGCACCGTCTGGGTCTTCTTCAGGGAAACTTGTGTTTATGTAAATTATGTCCTCTTTGCTGGAGGCATCTGGAAGTTTCTCAGCAAGTTTTTCCAACATTTCCCTGAGCTGCGAGAAGACGGGTCGGTCCTGTGGGTCAGCTCTCCAGCACAAGTACATTATTTCATACCTGAAAGGCAACCAGTAGGATCAACAAAAATGCACAAATGCGTATTTTCTTAACAGGGAGAAATGCTTGCAAAAAGTGCCAGATTATGATGATTGTTCTGAATAGGTATCTGATGAAGCTGCACCATGGATCTACAGTATAATATTATTGGGTTGCACCCTCTCCAGAATTATGAGTAATACAGTTGTACAGTATTTCTGTTGTCAGGAGAGGGAGATGTTGGGTAGGTGTGGAAGTGTAAAGAGCTACTGAATAATTGTCAGGTTTTGTCAAAAGTAGATGGCATAAACAGGAAGTGAACTCTTACAGTCCGTCCAAACAGTCTGGTGGCTGCTTCAGTCTGTGTCCTTCAAGCAGATGGTCATAAATCTCGTGGTTTTGGATTCCAGGATAAGGTGTCATGCCTCGAGTAGCAATTTCCCACATTGTAACACCAAAGGCCCACTGAAAAAAAAACATAGTCATCAAATATTACAACAGTGAAAGACTATACAGAACATTTTGGCCTTGACACAAGGTAACATTTTTTAAACAAATGGAAACTTGCAAATTATTCCTTTCTTACCACATCACTCTTTACAGTAAAAACACGGTCTGCCAGACTTTCCACAGCAATCCATTTGACTGGCATTTTAGCTATTCTGCCTTGTCTGTAATAATCTCCACTGTAGATCTTTTTAGACAGGCCAAAGTCCGCCACACAGACAGTCATGTCATCACGCAACCTGCAAGACAATTATGGTTTAAACTTTGAATAACAATATACATTTAATAATTTAATTTACGTTTTGATAGGGGCTGGTGCTCAGTGTACTGGGTACAGCTCTGACTACCTCCCCCCCAGACCCAGAAAAGGATTAAGGGGAAGAAAATGGATGGATGGACTTTACGTTTTGATACATTTTGTCACTTTCATTCAAAAGCCCAAATTATTCTCATTGTTTCGGTACATATTAAAACCGGGGTACCCAACTTTTTGTGTGTGTAAATAATACATTTTTTTTGCCCCATCATAAAAAGTGAAATTTTGAAAAGTTGAATGAAATCATACCACGACATAAGTCATGTGTCTCATAAGAAAATATTGTAATTTTTGAATACTTGCATACGGTCTGAACGCGGATAGAAAGTGCCATGTGAGTCACTATTTGACACTTTAGCTGACAGATAATTGGTTGATTCTTTTTCACTTTTCTGTCTAAAAAGCTGATCAACAGATATGACAGAATATGTGAAAATTAGTGATAAAACTACATTTCTATTTTTTGTAGTGTGAAAGTTAGGTAGCCCAGCTTCACTCCAATTGACTAATTATTGACAAATCGTACATGCAGTTCCGTGCAGCCAGGTCCCTGTGCAGAAAGTTGCGATTGCTCAGGTACTCCATCCCCAGAGCGATGTCCACCATGAACTTCAACAATGTCTGAGTGGGTAAATACTGCAAATGAAAAACAGAAAAAGAGTTAGTGTTTTTTTTTTAGAACAGTGACTTAATATTGTATCTTTTTCACACCATTGGGCTCTCTCCAAGACGCGAGCGAAGCAAAAAGCTGTGAAGATCTCCGTATTTCATGAAAGGCAATATGACCATGGGCTTGGGAAAGTTTCCTGGGCCCATTTCTAAGCAAACACCTGGAGAGGGCAAAGCAAACGGACTGTGACGGAGCGCAAACATGAGAAAGCAGAGACTTTAACAATAAAACACTGGTGTCAGAAAGTACCGAGCAGTCTGATGACATTCGGGTGGCTGAAGTCTTTCATGCAGGCGGCTTCATTTAGGAATTCTTCAATCTCCCTTTGAGAAAAACTGTCCACTGTTTAAAGAGAGCACGCATAATTACATTCAAGTTAATAAATCATATTAAAATAGGGGTGTGTCAAGATATATGACACTGAACTGGTTGAAATGCAATTGGTATTAATAGATATTGGGGAGGCAGCGTTTCAGATTTATGCAGCTAAAATCTGGAACAGTCTCCCTGAAAATGTGAGAGGCGTCTACTCTGACCATGTTCAAATCCAGGTTAAAGACAGTTCTGTTTGCCTATGCATACAAGGATTTATTTTAATGCTCCGTGGTTATTTATTATTTTAATCCCTTGTGTGATTTTAATGTTTTAATGTTTTAAATTACCTAGGCGTTCTATAAATAAAGATTGATTATTGTACTGAGAGCCATGCATCCCTAGAGTTCCCGTCATCACCAGCCATAATATACTTACATTTCATAGTCTTCACAGCAACCTTGTCGAGGTTTCCATCTGGTTGTCTAAACTGGCCCTCCACCACAGAACCAAATTCACCTGAAAAACAAAAATCCATGTTGATGTACATTCGATATGTTGCTATGTTGGCATGAAAAAGCCTGCTTACCTTCTCCAAGGATTTTTCCAATGGACAGCAGGTTTCTTGTGACCATCACATCTTGGAGTTTGGCCTGGAGTTGGTCGCTAATGCCAAGATTACTCACTAGAACAAGCAAAAACATCAAATATAGTACTTTGACTTTCTAATAACTGCAAAAGTATGTGTTGCTTACGTGTGATTCCTACAGCAGATCTATTATAGGACCGCTGTGGATTGTACAGTATGACTGGCTCCAGTTTGTCTCTGTCTCCAAACTGCTTCCTGCAAAAGGTAAGAAAGGAAAAGTCAAACAAAACAAACCTTATCCGCACTTATTATGTGGAACTTTGACTTCATATAATCAGTCCATTACATGAAAAACAAAGCTATAAAATAAACGCAGTGACTTGGAAGTATATAAAAACTGCATGTCTTTATTTACAACTGCGTAAAAATAGACATAAATTAATAGTATTCATTATTACTGGGGTGTTTAATAAAGACAATTTTAGTTCTATATTAGTCGGTGTGATTTAAACTTGTGACATAAATAAAACCTGTAATAACATAAACACAGGCCTCACTCAGGTGCAGAGTGTGACTAAGAGGAAGCAAAGGAAGTGTATGAGCTAAACCAGGAAACATTAAGTCGTCATGAACTAAAGGTCATTACACGTTACTCAGCCACCCAGTGGACAATTTCACTTTATACACAACACACTCATGTCATTGTTTAGCTTGAAATGTCCCACAGTTAGCCATTATTAACAGATATACTGTGTATGTCATCTATGTTAAAAACATTCTTGCCGTGCGGTCCCCTTTAAAAAAATCTATTGTAGTTCCATTGCCATTTATTTGAGCAAAGAAATGATACTGTATCTTTATGGACACAAGCAGGTGGTTGGCCCCTGATATAAAAGGTTACACAGTCCTTTCATTAAACTGCATGTGATTAACCCTATTGCTATGATCATATATTTTTGGCTATAGGTCAAATGACATTGTATTTCAGAGTCTAGACAACAGGATGGACTTATTATAATGTTGTTATTAGCTCAATTAGAGATGAGCTAATTAAGCCGTGCATACCAGAGCCAGGATCCAGGGGTCCTGTTGCGGACGCAGAGGCCTCCCCAGAGCACCAGCAGCAGCAGACAGATCCCACACACCACTCCCAACACGACATACACCGAGTCTGAGACAACAGTGTCTGGGCTGGAGGACGGGAAAGGGACTGACTCTGAAGGAAAACACACGCACATTAAAACGTTAAGCAGAAATTTGAGTGCAGTCTGAAAAAACAATAATACAATCACAACAAGTCCTTTTTGCACTTTACTATGAAGTGGTATATTAAAATTTGCATTGGTTGCTCAGTTCAAATATAATACTCATTGATATATCAAATTAGATTTACTTAATGCGTATGGTGGTATGGTTACAACCTTCATGTTTTAAATTGAAATGGTTTCTGAAGAATGTGAAGTCTATTTCACAAAATAGATTCTGAATCCCAGTGCAATCCCCATATATATACTGTATGGGGGCTTTTTATGACTCTTCTAAAACTAGAAATCACAAAATAGCCCCACCAGCCTATAGGAGCTGTGTTTTTCCTTATTAAAAAGCCCTCTCTTTTTACAGGTTCCAGATGTGGTGATGGGTCCATAGTTTCACTCACTGTCCTCTGGCACGTAGATCCAGACTGGAGGGCTGATCATGCCGCTGCCGGCCTGAGTGCACGCAGAAACCTCCACACTGTACGTCGTGTTGAAGTCCTGCAGCGGCACCGACACAGAGGTGGTGTAACTGTGGATCTACATAAACACAACAACAATTCACATGACTAGAACATGATGGGGGTATTGAAGTTATGGGTTAGCTGATGTGTATTCCAGTGTATTGAAGTTGATTTGAACTATAGCCCAAATAAATTGAACTTTAGTTAGAGCACTGGGGGAAAAAATTGCTCAGATACTGGAGAAAACATTTAAGTAAGGTCAACTTGACAAATGTACTACATATCTGATCCACATAATCTTTAATGCATGTTTTATTGTTGTGTATCTTTTCTCTCGTTCATATCATTGTCATTTACAAATAATTACCAATATTATTTGCAAATATACCTCTGTGATTCACTTTGGAAGTCTGCAGGAATTAAATGGCTCAAGTGTGAACGTTCTTGTTGTCTCCGTCTGATTTACCACAGTAACAACTCATATACACAGCAGCTTACCTTCATATTAGCACTTAATATCAGTATGCTGAAACTTTAAATGTGACCATAATACAAATGTTTTTTCTAGCACAGTAGTACAAAGAGCAGTGTTATTTTATCATCATAGCAGGAATGCAGCTCTGGAAGACAATATACCCAAGTAACTCCCCCTCCAAGTAGAGGAGAAGACTAGGTGATGTGCCATTCCTGGAATTCCCTAAAAAGAACATTGTGAGCAACATTTCACATACTGTTCTTTGTGTATCTTCCTCTTTTTCACTACAAATCAAAAACGTTATACAATTCTCATCTGCATGTCTGATATAATCACAGTCCCCTCATCAGAAGTTATAGAAAGAGGAAGACACATTTCAAACAGGAGCATGTGACAGACGCCTTATATTTCACAACATATGTTTTCTGCTGACACCCAAAAGAAGTTTAGTTTTGTGGTCTGTGGGAAATCTATAAGCACAAATATGTGCTGGGGCATGACGTCAGTAACTGCTTCACACCTCTGGGAATTGTTTCTCCGTGGAAAACATATTATTCATCTGCAAACTTTGCAATGCGAACTGTACATATTTGTTTTTCTGTAATACTGTTACTGTTGTCGTCCAGTGTCGTACATTGGGCAATGATTTTTACATCCACGCTGGTTGTGAAATATAATTGTTATAGCTTAAGGTCGACATCAGTACAATTTAATGTAAAGGAATATACAATTTACGATTCAAATAACTTCAATGTTACTGTAATTCACACTCATATAAAGTGAGCAATGGCGACAATAATAGTTTTCCACATGATGAATTCCCTGATAAATACAATTCCAAGTGTAAAGTCAACCACAGACAATACATACAAATATTGAACAGAGTGGTGCGCCACACATTGTCTCTCTCATCCATTCATCCCAGTGACTCAAGGCTGCATTCCAGAGCTACAACAACACGCTCTGCTTTTCACACTGTCCGCTTCCTTTACCTTTCACACAGACGGGAAACTGCGTTATCGTATGAGAAACCACTATCGCCATCACTGTGCGAATGACTGTAGAGCGTAGTGTGAACTGTAAACTTATGAATGTCATGAACCAGGAGAAAGTGACATGGACTTGACCTAGACGGGGGAGTCCCAAGTACATTTCAATTTTTTTTTTCAACAAAATACCCGATGTGCCTTTATAAATACCAATCAAATATTCAGCTGCAATGATAAATGTATAATGTCCATAATAATCTGGCAAAGCTCGACTTGACTGAATGACAAAAAATGTCTTTCTCACATACCACATTAGCGCCACATATGGGATTTTGTGCGCAATCCCAAATACAAGTTGGTATAGTGAAGTCAATCGAAGTAAACGACAAAATGCAAGAGGTTTTGAGCTTTACAACGAGGTATGAAGTTGGTTGGATGACACTTGTCTATGATCTCTGGCTACGTATGTTGGGTTAGCAACACAGAGGGCCATATAAAACGACACCTTGACGCCTCATCAATTGTTTCAAACCATATGTACTTTTTTATATTTAAATATTTCAGCTACCACACTTAAAAGCTTTAGTGAATCTGAGAGTGCTTTTTTGAGGGGAAGAAATGTAAGTAAGCACAAGCATTCCCCAAAGTAGCTCAATGTATCCATATAGTTGCAGATAAAAATCCACCTATGGCCTAAAGGCTATTCCTGATTGGTTCCATCATCACAGTGAAGCCATTGCTTACCATACTCTTTTGTCCTGCATGTCTAATGATGATATTGTAGCCGTTTAGGACACCATTTATTTTGTCATCTGGTGGTGGCTTCCATTTGATCATCAGCGACGACTCATTTAGGAAGACAGAGACATTTCTGGGATACACAGAGGGCACTAGAAAAACACAAAACGTTTGTTAATACAAAGGATATATAAAAAAAAGGCCTACATACTATAAATATAATTTGAAATCCTTTGATTACATTGTGGTATGTAGCCCTGGCAGGAGTTTCAAATCTTAAATATCCCATGTGGTCACTATAGGAAGGAAGCCCGCAGCTCCTCCACCCTACTTTGTGTTTTCTCAGTGTGACAAAAATCTCTCCTACTTCCTACTTTTGGAAAACAATTGTGGATATGACAATTTGTACAAGAAGTAGATGTAAGCAGACTGCTTTGTGACTTCCAGTAAAACATGACTGTGTTGGCTTTACCAGGAGACTAAGGAAGGGTTTAGGAAGTAAGGACGTAAATATAGAGAATAATACCTTTCTTCAAGAGGGAAACCACCACATGCAGATAATTGTACCGTAAGATTAAAATCACAGTATGAAAGTATTTGAGAAACTGAAAAACTGTGAGTGGATGTAGACAAATGCTTCTCCATTGTTTTAAAGCTATTGTAAGATAAGATAACGCTACACATAATTTTGGAACTGAAAATGTAATAAGCAAGAAAGAAGCGTTTTACAGTATAAGTATACATACTAGTAATTGTATCTTGTATTGATATTTTTAGCTTCATAATTACATTTAGTTTGCTCCAACCAACTCCAATTATTTGCAAAACACGTTATTATTTTCATACTTATAAGACCTGTGAGTCTTACCCTTTGGGCTGATATAGAGTGGTCCTCTCTTCATCACTTTTCTGTCTGAAAAATCTGTTCTAAATATGTGACAGAGGACTCCAGGAACTAGTGACATGGGTTTTACTAAAGCTGAGAGAGTTGTCTTGAAGTTAGAATAAATCTCCCACCACATGAACCTCTCATGTGAACCTGTGCTCCTCCACTCCCCCACACGCTTCACCTCCTTCAGTTGTGTTGCTCTGGATCCACATGGAGACTGCAGAGGGCCCCAGCTCGTTGCTACAGGAGACGCTCATGTTGTACCATGTCATGGCCTGGAGCCCCGAGACCTCGCGCTCAAACGGAGGCACGGACACATTCACGAAGCGGGTGGTCATCACTTCCCCTTTCCTACGACTTATCTCTCTTACCTAAGAAGAACAACGTGCAAATAAGACATCTTTAATTCATGTAAATGATCTTTGTTTGATGTAAATAAAGATCATTTTAACAATTCATACAAAATCATTATTGTGAATATATTGAAAATGAATGTGGCAGAATTCAATTACAACTTTCACAGCTTCTAAGATGTTAGAAGTTGTCATTGAAATACCAACAGATGTTTTTGAAGTGATTCATGAACATTATAAGTTTAGGTCTATATTCATATTTACATGTTTCTCTATATAAGACTTTTTATCCATTGCCTTACACCTGTATGTAGCAGTAAGTGATTTTTCTATTTCATGTTAGTTATGGTTTTATGAAAAACGAAGCAAACTCATCCATCTGCGATAAACTGCTGTATATTTCCTGGGTATAAAACATGAGAATGCTGTAAATACTCTAGTTGTGTAATTTATGCTGTGTCATGACTCAAAAATGAATAAAAAATGTCTTGTGCTTAGAGTTCATCCAAAATTAATATAATCTAGACCTATAATATCAATCTGGATGTCATTGATCTTTTAAGAGACAGAAGGATGTTATGTCTTCTTTAAACTCTGAGAACATATAGTATTTTCAAAAAGTGTGCCTTACTCTTATGAGGCATTTAGTAAGAGGAGAGAAGCCGTCGTGCCCAGGAGTCCAGCTGAGGCGTATCTTACTGGACTGCCTCTCCATCACTGTAACGTTGGACACAGGTCGAGGCAGAGCTGCAGAAACAACAGAATGATCTTTTTATTGTGACTTAACAGCGAGGCCACAAGCAGCTGTAAAAGCAAAGGAATGTCAGTTTCACCTTTAATGTGGACGTTTGCCTCTCGTGATGTCGTGACGCCTTTCTTATTGTAGGCTTCACAACTGAACTGCGTGAATCTGTCAACACCTGCACATATACCAGAGAATATGGATATAAATAAACTTAAATATGGACCACAAGTTTGCAAAAGGAAAAATAAAGTCAACATATTTGTATTCTACATCGCAGTGTTACAACTTTCCGAGTCACGTGTCTTTTGAAAGTCATACTGAGAGAGGAGGACGGTTTCAAACGTATTCTTTCAGTGGATTTGTTTTGTTCGCCTGGACAATCCTGTGTCTCAGCGAGGCACAGATCTATGCAGAACGGGACAGTAGCAACAGCTGCTACATAATGATCTCATTGTCCGCTTCTTTTTTTTGTTCAAATGTTGGAAACTCAAAGTGGACCACAACAAGCCTGTCAGTGAAGGCTGGAATTAATCTGTCAAGTACTGTTTACATTCTTTGGATATTTATGACATAATAAGATTCTTGGACAATTGGACAGCATACAGATCTACACTGAATCCTATATAATTATTGTGAACACGCAGCTGGTGTTTGAAACGCAACAGATGTGAAAATGAGACAAGTGTGCCACTTCAGTTTACATCCGCTCACAGAGTTTAAAAACATATTTTAAAATAATGTCATATACAGAAGGTTGAGCAACTGTGTTCAGGATTTGTGCATCTCAGAACAAATTACCTTACAGAAGTGGGTTTACAGAAGTGGGTTTATTCAAAGGAAACATTACAAGCCAATGAACTCAAATAAAAGTTCATCACTGATTAAAAAAGGAAATGAAGAAAAGGTTGTGACACTTTAAACTACATCTAAAACCTAAACAGGAAACATGAATAATATTGTAAAGTGTAAGTTGCAGTAACTTACAAAATAAATTATCTGCTTGAAGATTTTATTTTTAATTTAACACACAATTATGAAGTTAAAGCAGAACTATACATTACTTGTATGTAACTTTTAAAGATATAAATTAAGTATTTATACAAAATGAGTTTATGTATTGTGGAAGACCAAGCTTTGCACATCTAGAGACTAAATGTTTTGCCCATTCCTCTTTACAAATCATGAGTGTTTTTGGACAGAAGTTTTCTACAGATCTTCAAAAAGATTTGGACTTTGACTGAGTTATTCTAATTAATATCTTTTTTTACTATTCTATTGTAGCTCTGGCATTATGTTTAGGGCCATTGTCTTGTTGGAAGGTAAATCTCCAGCCCAAGTTTGTTTCCAACATTATCTTGTATTTGAATCTTTTTCTCTGCTGAAGAACAGCCCCACCCCCATCGCCACAGCATGATGCTGCCACCACATGCTGTATGTATGAAACTGGGGATGGTGCACTGAGGGTGATGAGCTGTGTCAGTGCTGCGCCACACATAGTTTACATTTGGGCCAAAAGTTACATCTGACCCAAGCCCCTTCTTCCATGTGTTTGCTGTGTCCCTCATATGACTTCTGGCAGACTGCAAACAGGATTGATAATGTCTTTCTTCTTGCCACTCATTCATAAAGGCCAGATTTTTGCAGTGTATGACTAATATTGGGCCCCATGTAAAGATTCCCCCAGGTCAGCTGCAGATGATGGCTTCCCCAGAATCCTCGTGGAACACATGGGTGCATTTCTGATCAATGCTCTCTTTAGGCGTTTTCACATGGGCTCCACTCTGCACAGCTCTGCCCTGTTTGCACGTTTTCACACTCTCAAAGGGAGTCGTGTTGAGCTGCTAAGGTGAGTGATGATGGGTGTGTGAAAGCTTGATGATGGGTCTGTGCCTACAGTAGTAGTTTATCACATATGTGTCCACATTGAGTGTCCAAAAAGGTGTCGAGCCGGGCTTATACGAGCCAGGCCCAAGTTAAACCTCCCCACAACTTCATCTTTGACCTCTTTGGTGATGTTGTTTATTGACCACAACACATAGCTCTGAGGCCTTTGCAGAACAGATGTAATAATACTGAGAGCAGATTACAATCGTTAGAGCAAGATATAAGCATTCAGCAGTCCTTAGGACATTTACAAAAAACTCTATTTAATGCTCAAGAAAAATAAAATGTTACTTTCACTACACAGTTGTCTGTTACCTTTGTCTTTCAACAAATAAACAAAAGAAGCCAAAATAACATTTACTGTATAAATAACTACGGGTCAAAAGTTTAGTACTTTTGCAAGCCACTGCATTGCATCCAGAATTCTGAAACCCTGGAGTCTGTAATTACAAAGTTGGAAAGAACTCCTGCAAACCACATACAGTGCCTTGCGAAAGTATTCGGCCCCCTTGAACCTTTCAACATTTTGCCACATTTCAGGCTTCAAACATAAAGATATAAAATTTTCATTTTTTGTCATCTTGTTGTCCCACTTGTTGTCAATCAACAACAAGTGGGACATAATCGTGAAGTGGAACGAAATTTATTGGATAATTTAAACTTTTTTAACAAATAAAAAACTGAAAAGTGGGGCGTGCAATATTATTCGGCCCCTTTACTTTCAGTGCAGCAAACTCACTCCAGAAGTTCAGTGAGGATCTTTGAATGATCCAATGTTGTCCTAAATGACTGATGATGATAAATAGAATGCACCTGTGTGTAATCAAGTCTCCGTATAAATGCACCTGCTCTTTGATAGTCTCAGGGTTCTGTTTAAAGCGCAGAGAGAACCATGAAGACAATGGAACACACCAGGCAGGTCCGAGATACTGTTGTGGAGAAGTTTAAAGCCGGATTTGGATACAAAAAGATTTCCCAAGCTTTAAACATCTCAAGGAGCACTGTGCAAGCAACTATATTGAAATGGAAGGAGTATCAGACCACTGCAAATCTACCAAGACCCGGCCGTCCCTCCAAACTTTCATCTCAAACAAGGAGAAGACTGATCAGAGATGCAGTCAAGAGGCCCATGATCACTCTGGATGAACTGCAGATAACTACAGCTGAGGTGGGAGAGTCTGTCAATAGGACAACAATCAGTCGTGCACTGCACAAATCTGGCCTTTATGGAAGAGTGGCAAGAAGAAAGCCATTTCTCAAAGATATCCATAAAAAGTCTTGTTTAAAGTTTGCCACAAGCCACCTGGGAGACACACCAAACATGTGGAAGAAGGTGCTCTGGTCAGATGAAACCAAAATCGAACTTTTTGGCCACAATGCAAAACGATACGTTTGGCGTAAAAGCAACACAGCTCATCACCCTGAACACACCATCCCCACTGTCAAACATGGTGGTGGCAGCATCATGCTTTGGGCCTGCTTTTCTTCAGCAGAGACAGGGAAACCCGTTGGAGTCTGCAAAAGACCTGAGACTGGGACGGAGATTTATCTTCCAACAGGACAATGATCCAAAACATAAAGCCAAATCTACAATGGAATGGTTCACAAATAGACGTATCCAGGTGTTAGAATGGCCAAGTCAAAGTCCAGACCTGAATCCAATCGAGAATCTGTGGAAAGAGCTGAAGACTGCTGTTCACAAACGCTCTCCATCCAACCTCACTCAGCTCGAGCTGTTTTGCAAGGAAGAATGGGGAAGAATTCCAGTCTCTCGATGTGCAAAACTGATAGAGACATACCCCAAGCGACTTGCAGCTGTAATTGCAGCAAAAGGTGGCGCTACAAAGTATTAGCGCAAGGGGGCCGAATAATATTGCACGCCCCACTTTTCTTTTTTTATTTGTCAAAAAAGTTTAAATTATCCAATACATTTCGTTCCACTTCACGATTGTGTCCCACTTGTTGTTGATTGTTGTTGCTTTTATATCTTTATGTTTGAAGCCTGAAATGTGGCGAAATGTTGAAAGGTTCAAGGGGGCCGAATACTTTCGCAAGGCACTGTATGTGCAGAAAATTAAATCAGGAACACTATTATTTTTGAGATTTTAAATCATAAATGCTTTGATAAATTATGGAAGACATGCACAATACTATAACCACACCACTCTAATCTTACCCTGTTTTTTTCAGTGTGCTTTCCAAATAATTTTGCAGGCTATTTATGCAAAGGGTGGCTTTACTGTGGTGCCAATGTTGAAATCATGCAGTAAGCTCTGGTCTGCACCCAGTCCCCTCCCTGCCGGCCCGTGTAGGACGCCCCATCAATGAGGCTTTTGTCCGCAGATCCAACCCCCGAAATGGCTCCAGTGCTGTCCCCTCGTCGGCCCTGGCCTGACGCATGGTGCTAAACCTTTAACCCGTGAGGCTGTTTTAGTGCACACTGCTGAGGGAGCAGAGAATTGCCTGCGGTGGTTTTGAAAGTGACAAGTGGGGCATGAAAGGAGCAAAGTTTATCAATCTAAAAATAACTGCCACAAGAACGAGCAGAAGTCAGGAGAGATTCACATTCCGTTTGTGGCCTGAACAAACAGAACCAGTGGCATCACAACACAGGCACAAGAACATATAATAGTGTCATAAAATTGCATAAGCTGAAAAAGAAATGAATGAGAAATGAATTAGTTGCCGTGTATATGTCTCAAACTGTTTAAAAGTTGTGAAATGAACCGCAATGGCTCTATGTGAACTTTTGTGAGTGCATGTGATAAATTACATTGTAGTAAGCAGTGGACACGTGCTGAGGCAGCACTCATAGGCAGAAGAGAAACCACCAAATAGCTGAAAGCCAATGTATATCTGTCTGGACAATTTCCAAGACAAAGCTGCATATGAGGGGTTCTGAAGTGAAGTGCTTAAGCTATGCATGCTTTCACATCACACATGAAATTTAAACTGAATCTCAACTTTGAATTGGAAACAAATAAATACATAAATTACCAAAAGAAGAGAACCCAAAGTCATTCTATTCTTATTGAAACTAACTATTTGGCCTAGAAGAGCAATACACCTCTTTACATGTTCTTTATCCTCACTCCTCTATTCTTACCTGACACAGAGTAGCTGCTGGGCGAGTTGTGAAAGTCGCTGTCAGGAGAACCGTCCCGGAGCCACCGAATCTGCACCGGATCCGGAGGTCCCACCGCCTCACAGGACAGGGTGAAGGGAGCATTCCTCGTCACATTTCTGTCCTCTGGCTGCTGTATAAATGTGGGCAGACCTGCGGACAGTTGAGACTCTTTTATTTTACAGATTATATAATTTCAAAAAAACATGTTCCTACTTTCCCTTACCTTCCACATCAATGATGATTGGCTGAGATTCGACCAATGAATTCATGATGCTCAGTCGACAGCGGTATTCACCTGCATCTGATCTCTGAACCTGTTGTATTCTGCAAAACAAGAACATTCAGTCAAAGACTTGGTCTTCTGTTCTGTAGATGTTACAGACAATGCCCGCAGACTTACTAAAACTTTACATGATCAAAATATTTTATAAACATGCTTTTTAAATGTTGGAGAGAATCATCTGCAATATGTAATACTGTATTAACATGTTAGTAAACATCTTGAGTTATAAGTATGATGTGACATGTTACTTGATGGCGGAGAGCAGAGTGGTGACTCCGTCAGTGACCGTCTGCAGGTCGTTGTTGACCAGGTGTGAGTTTGGAACCAGCTCCTGTCCGTTCTTGATCCAGATTATGATGGGCTCCAGTCGTGGGTCTGGCACTTCGATGGAGCAGTTGAAAATGGCCTCATGGCCCTCGGAGAGGCGGATGGAGCCCACAGTAGGTTTGAAATGTAGCCTTCGCAGCTGATCAGGGGTCAGATAAACCTGAGAGGCATGTCCAGCTTGAACTAAGGACTCTGAAGTCCTGGTGAGCCGGTGAAAGCGTCTTACTGAGGGTCGACCTGAGCCAAACACAGATATCATGATCATTTTATTGTTGTTATTATTATTATGATTAGGTATGGCAGAATATACATTAAAAACTTGGTGTATTCACCCGTTATCCCTCTCTGAGCTCAGGTCCAGGGAGATTGAGGGGTCTGTGCAGTATCTTTGCTGTCCCTACTCCACTGCCCTTATATCTTTCAGGTCCCTTCCAGCTCCTGAGCCCTTGATATTTTTTGAGCTTATATATGTACTATATTACTTAAGCCTGAAGCCTAAAGATGATCCCTCAATTTGTGTTTCATGATAACAAATCAATGTTTTGACCACTATACATTAACATTGTTAATTATGGCATGAATATACGCGTCTATCCTAGAACAGGTTTTTATGGCCTCAAACTCACTGTAGACCAACATTCTCAACATTCTTCCTCTTCAGTCAGGAGTTACTTACAGCTGGAGTGGGCAGAGTCAGCAAGCATGTGTTAAAGTACTATAGTTTACATCATTATCTTAACTGTCACATGCAATGCATATTTTGTGATTGAAACAAATTAATCAAAAAGCAGTCACTGTTAATACTGATATCAAACATTATGGATTTAAAAATATATAATCCTATAAGAAATCTATATTATATTGAAAACGTCACTTTGAGACGTCACTGTTGAGACAGGTTTATTAGGTCCGATGTTGGGAAACTAGTTCAGGATACAGAACTTGTAGAACTTCATGTATGTCTTTAGTCAACCTTATAGATGGATAGATAGATAAATACTTTGTTGATCCCCGTAGGAGAAATTCAGGTGTCCAGTAGCAGAAAAAATAAAAATAATGCCAAATGGGAACAATTCATTTCTTGCACATGTGAAAGATAAAAGGAAAGATGCGTCCCTTTTATTTTGATAGCATCTATTCCCAACGTCAACATGCCTTTTATACACACTGGACCTTCAACCAGAGTCGTGGCTTCAGAAAGAGCTTTATCGACTTCAAATACCCGTGATTTCAGTCCGACGTTTTATGCAAAGTTATTCCAAATTAAAATACGTGTGAATATGAAATCATAGTTTAAAACATATTCTAATGAATTGAATGGACTGACTATGGGGCCCCATGTGCTTGGGATCCAAAATAAAGTTTGCAACGTCAATTCCTGTAACCATTGTTAGAAGCAAATAAATAATTAACACCAGCAGCTGAGTGACAGAGCCTGTCTCTGAGGAATGCAAAGACGGTAAAACTCACCATAGTTGGTCGCACAAGTGCCCTGGAGAAAAAACACCAGCGCAGAGAGAAGTAGAAGCTGTGCCATGACCAGCTCCTCTGGAGCTGAGTCCAGAACAGTCCGAAAATAAATGTTTACAAACACTAAACTTTGATGTCGGATTTCAGAGTGAGAGAAATGGGACCAACTTTAACCACTCCTTCTCTCCACAGTGACGACCACCCTCTGTTGCTCCTCCTGTGACCACAGATTTGCGTTGCTGCTGCTACTGCTGCAGGACAGACAACATTCACGCGTCACAGCTTTCAAAGAGGCGGACGATCGGGAAAAATGAAATGTTATTTTACCGCCAATTATTAAACCATGTAAATATTCTGATGGTGCCATCATATTTTCTCACAAAAAGTCACTTTGATCTTTATTTTTTTAAATTATGTGAAAAAGTGGCGAAAACCATGAATATACTTAAATGCTGCCCCCTTGCGGTTATTAGTAGTAACATAAAACTATTTGCACATTTGAACGTCAATCTCAATCATTTTACAGTTACAGACACTCCCACTTCTCTTAGCAATACTTGCGTTATTGGGTTAAATAGATATTGTTAAAAACTGTAGAGGGATAATTCATAGTGATTAGAATATCCAAAAACTTCTAAAGACGTTCTAATATTCTGTAAGAAGAACACAAAAACACATATATACACACACACACACACACACACACACACACACACACACACGCACACACATAGAAAACATTTGTATATGGACTGCGAAAGGCGCATTATAAATAAAAACGTACTTACTTACTTATTCACCGGTATAGTCTGGTGTTTCAACAACTGTGGTGTACGTAGATTAAGATTAAGAGATCCTTTATTTGTCCCACAGTGGGAACATTTCAGTGTTTTATCACAAGTTATAGAACAGTAGAAAAGAGGAGCACACGGCACAAGTTAAGTGAACAATAGCTATAATAAATAAAATAAATTGTACTAACAACTACTAATCTGCTGCTGCTACTAACTACTACTTATTTTTTCGTCACCAATCACTTTACTTCAATCTGCAACGTGCACAGATAAACACTAGAGGTCGCCATTTGACGCAAAAAACCTGTGTACAGTCTATGATGAGAATTCTATGGGTTAATATAATACAGTCAGGGGTTTTTAAGTAAGTCAAAGTCAAACACAAAGACAACAGCACATCAAACTTAGTAGCATTTGTCTATAATTACACGAATCCTCACTTTTGCAGTATTTCAATGTCGACTGTAGCAACATACGTGACTACAGCTTTTTTACGAGCACACTGAAAGCGACGCATGACAGGAAGCCCAGTCTGTTGGAGTCGACATGTCACACTGACCTCAGATCAGTTTAAGCCCCGCCCATTCGCACGTTCACCCTTTCCCATTGACATCCAAACTGCTCTCAGATCGGTATGGCAGAATAGGCGTTTTTCCGGAAGCAAAAACTCGAAGAAATTTCACTCCTGCTGCGTCCAAAGTTGTGGTTCAACAACCGAAACCGCCGTACACACTTTTTGTGATAAAACCAAACGGGTTTGTGTAAAAATAGTACGTGTTTATTAGCTTTTAGCGATGGACAAGCTGCGTCGAGTGCTCAGCGGGCAAGAGGAAAATGAGGAGCTGGGTCTCACTACGGTATGTAAATATATATGCAGCACAGTAGTAGCTTACAGTGCTAACTAATTAAAGTTACACAGTGTAACTTTAAAACGAAAATTAAAATATTGTTTGTACTGTATTCTCCTTTCAAGCTCAGTCTGCGATCTGGCTCAATGCTTATCAGTATCTTCACTCTGGTTATCTCACTGATCACTTAAAAGTTACTTCTGAATTTTGCCATATTTTTTACATATATTTACGTGTTTGTCAATGCCTTTTCATGCATCCAGAATCAGGAGGAAACGAGGTAAGATTGTGACTAAATGATTAATGTTCTGTTGTTGTATTATTATTGGGTACAGAGAGTAAATGTGTTGCACCATTAAATAGCCAATGTAAGCTTGTGTTTTGACATCTTACATTTCTATCACGTTTTCTAAGCGTTGCTCTGCCTGAAATCCAACATTATTGTCGAAATTTGGCAGTGACTGTAAGTTGTAAGTGTGCAGCAACAATCTAATGCTGGTGTTTTCTGTGCTTTCACTTCAGAAAACTTGTAATTCTTCTAAATAAATAAATATAGGCTAACATGTTTAACCCATTAGCATAGGGCCCCATTCATGTCAATAGCCTTGTGTTTGACATCCTCCTATTGTTCTGCACAGGTCCTGGATTCCAGCACACTCAGCTACAGCACCAGGATCAAATGGTTCATCATATGTTTTGCTGGAGGCATCTTGTGTTCAATTCTGGTGAGTGGATAGAGGATTTTAAACAACATAAGTTGGTTTCACATTGTAGAATTTGACTGCGTCCAGTAATTACACAAATATGAACTATAACCGATGTCAATCAACAAACATAAGTGATTGTGTACATTGCAATTTGATGCAGATATTACATTGTTATTGCCATGTCTAATTCACAACAGCAGTCCTTTAGAAGAGCTTTTCACAGATCAAATGTACGTGTTGTATCAAATGGTAAATCCATCAACAAAACTGACTGAGCCAATTTTAAAACTATGCTTTACTTTATGATGTGTTTTCTGGTTGTTTGAACTGTATCTCAATATCTCAATATCTATCTCAATATCTCAAAGCTGTTGTAATAGATAAAAAGTAAATTTCTATCTTAAAAAACATGTCTTCTGGCTTAATGTATCATTCAGCAATACATGGTACTCAATTGAAAACTGAAGGCCATCCAAATGCTTAGATTATATTAGCTTCATACCTTGTTTGACGATTAGAACGGTTGAATGACTGAACCATGGCAAACTTTAGTTTACACTAAACATTGATATTCTCTTTTTGTTATGATGATATACTAAAATTACATCTTGAATAATTGCATTCGTGTCTTGCAAAGTATATATACTTTAATGTACTGTGTGACACATTTTAGTTTTGTGCAATCATGTCAGGAAGTAACACTGACATCTGATAACATCTGATGACTGTGTCCTTTTATTATTGTTTAGCCTTTTTATATGTTTCACTTACCGCTCGGTCAGACTGCAGCACTTGAATTAGATGTAGGTCTAGTTTCAATTTCTAATTATACTTTTTTTTATTTTTTTTATTACAACACTTAGTATAAACCACTAGGGGGAGCCAAATTTGATCCAATTCGAGTTTTAACCCACTTCTCTGTCATGTGGCTCCACTCTATCCATGCCTCTCACGTGCTACTGGGCTGGAGTAATCAATCTCACCAGTTTTATTTAAGAAGCCCTTTTCACGTATTATTTTTTTTTATCTACAAAAAGTGGTTTACAATTCGTTAAAAACAATCCACATGATCATTTTGACGTTTCATCACAGTCAAATCATCGACAACAGTCTCAGTCACACATACATAAGTATGCCCACAGACACACACACGCTTAGAGTAAAATTTACAAAAAATTTAATTGATTGTTTATCAACCAAAATCTGAAGGTGGATTTCTACATATTTGAATATTGAATGAGAAAGTCAATGAGAATAACTTTACAAAGAACTACCATCAAACGACAGCTTCCTTAACTGATGTTAAAAATAGAGCAGTTGTAAATCTTTGAAAAAGTAGCACAAATCCCAACATACTGTGTGTCTATAAATAGATATTCAAATGGAACTAACAAAGTCTATTTTTGTTAACTAGGGCTCAGCTCTCCTGTTCCTTCCAGGTGGAATTAAGCTCTTTGCAGTTTTTTACACATTAGGGAACGTCATGGCTCTCTCCAGGTAAGACCTCCAGCCAACAATCTTTTGGCCAATCTAGATCTTGGCTTTGCTTCATACTTTTAATTACAAATGCGCATTGATGATGGAAGCCAAAACTATCTTTTCTCATAGACCACACACAATGACTAAAACGTCCTCAATGACCCTTCTATTACTGGAGCAAAATATGGCAAATTTTGTCTTTTAGAATAAGAATTCCACAATATCAATGGCATGACCAACAATTTATACCTACTTATTTGTATACACTTTTAAAATGTTAATTTTTGTCAACCTCATCTATTATGTCAAACTCCTTTATTATGATTTAATATTTCACATCTGCAGTGTTGGCGAGACATTTATTTTTGAATGTCTAAAAGTTCTTCAAGAAACATGGGTGTTTTAAATCTCTTTTAAATCTTTTTCTAATATGATATCATGCTATTGAGGGTACAAATTGCATTTTTGTTGTTGTAGTGTTAGTGTTTTCTAAATTAATCACAAAACAGTGTCCAACTCTATTTTGATACTAAAAATATACTCAACGACAAGACGTTTGTGTATGAATGCTCTCTTTGGACTCTAAACCATAATTCAAAATAAATATAACTTTTTACCACTTGTATTTAAAAAAAAAAAAGCTAAATGTCCAATGTTCAGAATCAAGTTGCGCTGTTTATGTAATTTATTGAATATCTATGACCTCAAGTTAGTATCTCATTTAGCTACTAGTTTTAGTATCGATTAATATCTGTTCAATACTTTTGACAACTCTATTTTGAATTTCACCAAAAGAAAAGCTACCTGTACCTAAATGCTTCTTCTGAGTTCACATTCTCAGTACAGTTCTTCAGTTGCTCCCCAACACTGCATATCAGTTTCACCTAAAGTCGTCCTACTCCTCACACAATGGAGTATTCTTCATTCTCCCATCACTTGAATGTGGAGTAGCAGTAACAGCCTGTGCGTGGCCACACTCTCTCAGCGTTGTGTGAGCAAAGAGTCTCGGAGATCACTCAGGTCCATACGTCACAGTCCTCACTCAGAGCTCCTCGGCCTCCCTCGGCTCCAGCAGCGCGGGAAACCCTTTTGTGTTACAACATTTACTGACGTCAGCGGGGAAAGTATAGCATGTAGGAGGTTTTTATCGATGTGTCATCACGGGCAGGCCTGAAATGTGAAGCGAAATGTACTTATAAATGTTGTATGCAGTCACAGGTTCATTACGTGACGTCATTCTGTTTGGGAAGAAGCAGAGCACAGCATTTTATATTGATATATTTCTTTTAGTTTGGACCTGACATTCATACATACAAGAAGAAAGAGTTTTTGTCCCTATTTTTCAGAAATAATTCTTAGACATGTATCTGCTATCATTGGAGTTGAATAAATGACTGATCTTAGAGGGAAGATTATGATCATTAACTTTCTTGAGGTGTCTCATACATTTATTATTTTATTGTAATTTAAAGTAAATTGGTTGATTTTATACAAACATCAATGGTCCGACAGCACTGAGAAAGATTATTTCTAAATGTCACACAGGCAAATTTTTGTGACACTTTACTCAATATTCAATTCAAATATTTGTTTTTGTATAGCCCTAAATCACAACAGCAGTTGTCTCATAGGACTTTACAAAGTTGTAGATTTGCCAACACAATTCAGAGAATCAAACCATTCAAACACAGTAAATGCAATAATAACAAACACCTGGGAGCCATTGCTCCATATGGCGGATGACCAATTTCCATAAATGCGCACGAATGAATATTACTGTATATTTATTTACGTGCTTACCTTATTGGCGAATTGGGCATCAATCAAATTATTCGAAAACTAAATGAAATGCTACCCTGATGTCCTCAAGCGTATACAATTGGTTCTTAAGTCTTAACCTCAACTTTGCAAAACTATCACAAATACAAATGATAATTCATAATACGCCGTAACAAGTATAAACGATCAAACTGACTTTCAATGTCGTTGTGTTTCCTAAAGCACATGTTTTCTAATGGGACCTCTGAAACAACTGAAGCGCATGTTTGAGCCCACGAGGCTGATAGCAACTATTGTGATGCTGGTAAGTCCCACATTGTCTCACATTATGTTTTCCTGTATTTTAGAGTGACCTCGCATACGGAGTATACATTGTGTTATTTCTGACTAGATTCCCAGGCCAAATTTAATCAAAGCTTTTGTGCTCCTTTTGTCTTAAAGGCTTGAGGGGATAAAGTAACCAATCGTGTCAACACATTTAAGCTTGAAACCAAACTATTCTTCTTACTACGCTTCTGTGAACGGCCTAATCCAATAATGCTTTTTTTCACGTCTATATTGGTTTTACTTTCAGCTTTGTCTGGCCTTAACACTTTGTGCAGTGTTTTGGGTCTGTATTTCAACTTTATTACATAATTTGTTGTTTTAATGATTTTCATTTTGTTTTAATCTTTTAATGGTGTATAACAAAATCGTCTTTCTTTTTTCAGTGGCATAAAAAAGGACTTGCTATCATCTTCTGTATTCTGCAGTTTTTGGCAATGACATGGTAAGTCTAGTCCGTTGTATCATATGGCCGTTTTTTCTGTGAGCCAAAGCAATTGCTGAGCCAAAGCAATTTCCAAGTCCCTGACTTCCTGTTACTTACGTAACGTGGCAATAAAAATTATTCTGATTCTGATGAGCTTACGAGATCCGTCCTACTTTTGCCTAACCCACATCTGAATGACTAACGCGCTGAGTCAGAGGTCTGCAGGGCCCGTCTTTGCTCGGTCGGAGGATTTTTTGACCTGGTCTCAGAATCGCATCGACAGTTTTAATGCGTTGAGCCTTGACCGAACATGTGAACGCAGCCACTCAGACCGCATTATCCAATTAGTTACTCTGACCCAGCTTAATCAGGGCCAAAGATGTCGCCCATCCAGAGGTGTCAACAGTACTAGTCTTACAGTCCAGACTGGTAAAGTATTGAAGGAATACCCTGACTTAAGTTAGAGTAGAGCAGTGTATTTCAAATTGCCTCTTGCACAAATCCCATAATGCTTTTCGGCTTGGGGGGATCGCTACCTTAGAAGCTGTATACAGTGAAGTCACAAGATTTGTAAAACCTGTGATAGGACTTTAAAAAGTGTGAGGCCTGATGAGGAAGCTGAGAAGGAAACCTGCAGCGAGTTTGAAGACCTCTGATGATGAAGTTAAAACTACCAGCCTCAGTTTTTTCAATGCACTAAAACAATAGAAATGGTTGCCATCTGCTGGCCTTTTGAAGAACTGCACACATTTGAAGCACATTTGAACTGGATGCAGGCAATATGAGAGCTTTCCCCCACATTGAGGTTGGGATTCGCGCCTGCAAACGAACAGGCTATAGATCCAGGACTGAGGCCGTAGAACGAGGACCAAGACCATGTGAGGCAGGATTGGGGCAGCTCCCAGGCATAGTTCCATTTTAATTTTTTTAAAATATTTTTAGCAATAAATATATGAAAGTCTTTTTAAATTTGTATATGTTTATTTGTAGTTATTCATCTGAAAGCACAATTTAAAGAACAAATAAAAAGATAATCTCTGTGTAAATAACGTGATGACAGCGTTGCCAGCAGCAAGTGCCTGTCGAGTTTTATTTAACCAAGACCTGATTGATGTGTGTGTATGCATTTAAATCAGGTATATTTGCCCAGAGTGCTTGGAAATGCAAACAGCATATCACAGGACAATAGTTGGTCCAGATTTATTCACTTAACTTTGTGTCAGCTCGTCGCTCTTCACACCCCCACGCTAAAAAAAATCACTTCCGGCAGCGTATAGCATCACTATGGAAACCAGCAGAGCTCTTTCTTTCTCAGCCGCTCCGAGGCCGCAGTCGCTCCCACACAGGCCTCCAGACGGCCGAGGGAAGGTGGGACTTTATGCTCTGACCAACACAGGCGCGAAGAAAGCTCCTATTCCGCAAACTCAGAAATACTGACGTCAACTGTTTGATTTGTGATTACAATACAATCGTAACACAAAAAGTATATGTCTAGACTTTATCTCAGGATTTTGTTCTGTTTTAGTTCTATTTACTTAGAGCTGGGTCTTTCAAGATAATTTAAAACAAATCTGTAACAAAATTAATGCTATCAGTGGTTTTTGCATGCATGCATTTTTGGCCTCTGTCACATCTTTAGATCAGCTTTATCAGACAGAAATTAAAAAGGAGAGGACCAGTCTTTCTTGGCCAATCAGCTCTTCAGTCAACTAGATATTTTTTTGACTCTTTGGGCTCATTCCCCTATTACAAGACTCCCTGTCCACTGGTTCAGATGTGGAGATCTCTTCTTCTTTTTCTCAAATATTCTTGAAAATGACTTGACATGATGCTGAGTAATTGAATTCAATCTCAAATGTATTTATTTATTACAAAACATATAATAAAAGTCCATACACTTGTTTTCTATGATATGTTAGAGCTTTGTTAGAGAGAGAACTCCTTGGCGGCTGAGGCCCCAAGGCTGTACATACACAACAGATAAGTCCAAAATTAATATATTTTACATATACCTTCACCCTAAACTATTTCCTAAAAAAGTAGTAGTTGGTCATCTGTGAAGTTTATCAAAAATGGCCAAATCCATACATTAATTTATGTTTGTGCCTTATATTCTGCTACTTGTTATGTCATAGTTTCAGCCAGCTCCTTTAGAAAGATAAAAATGCCTTTTGTGGCTTACAGCATAATGCTGTAATCGGACATTAGTTAATCAGTTAACTAATGTTCTGAATTCCTTGCATGCTTGAAATTTATAAGCTGCACTTTGTGAAGAAAACTATTCTACCATCATACCACCGGCCAAACAGACATTACCCCATGCCTGGATAAATGAGTTGCTTCAAAGACAGTGAAAGTGACAAACCCTGACATATAAAACTATTTGATAATCCATTGAAATCATTAACCCTATTCCTTTGTGTTTCAGGTATAGCATCTCATACATACCATTTGCCAGGTGAGTTGTTTAATATTATAGTTTGTTTTTGTCTCTCCATGGCTCACATTGACCCTTGTCTCCTCATTACACACGTTTATTTGAAATACCAACACATGCAACAAACTACTCTTAACACAACATGTTTTTATTCATTTCTAAACATTGCCTTGTTTTCTTTCACCATATGGCTGTAATCCCCCCAGGACTAATGCAGGCACTTAATGTCCAGCAAATGGCAGCTTGTTGTTTCACACTCCTCTGAGCTCCAGTGCCTTTTCTGCAATATCAAAATGGATTCATTTCTTGGCCAGTGTTAATGCTCTTAGCCTTAGATTAACCAAAAATGCCTCGTCTGATTTGACGAGTCTGAAATGAGTCTGAGTGAGTCTGAAATCCAGTAAATTTATTTTTGATTAGATTGACACCCTAATTCTTCACCTGCTTAAGATAAGGACAGAAAGCTTGTCTATCTTGGAAAGCCTCTATCATTCATCCAGCCTGGGTGATTTCAGCTTTGATCTATTATTTCTACATTTGAAAATGCATCATTGGAGTTTATTGTTGTTGAAATTGTCCCACGTGGTGCTGCCGGGTCTCAAGCCGAGCACAAAGTGTGATGTTGTTTTGCCAGTCCAGCTGCGAACTGCGTTATGTCTCGTTTCGTTCATTGTCCCGGAGCCGGTGGTCCTGGTGTACCCCTCCTCAAAGTGCCCTGTGTATTTGGGTGACCTCTATAATCGGCCCTGACAGCTGAGCGACCCCTCTTCAACCAGCCCTTGATCCCCATCCCCCCAAGTCTAACAGAACAACAATACGACACCCAGACAAAGACCTGTTCACTTTTCCCTAAGAAATTCCTTCACACATGTTTTTTTAAAGTGTATTTTTGTTGTTAATACTAACCACACATTAATTGTCTCGTCATAATCTTCTTTCGATAATCAAATTTATCCAATATTTTGATTATTTCCCTCTATTGTATTCTGTGTTTTCACAAGGCAGATGTTCAATTTAATCTCATTCTTTCATGTGTAAATCGTGCCAACAATTCTATCACCTTATTTGGCAACCCTGTTTAATATATTACCTTGTTTACTATTCATCTTACGGCAAAACTGCTGCATATGCACTTTCTGTGATGCTATAAGGAAGCACCTCATATGCATATGATACTGGAAACAGCAACGGTTGTTTATATTGGACGGAATGGTACTGACTCGCCTTTTGTATATTTATATTTATATTTGAGACATTAAATTAAACAAAATCCATAATTTCTGGATTTGTTTTTAAGCATTTTTCTTAGGCTGCTCTCTATTCATGGTAAAAGGCGAGAGTGTACGTGTTTATGTGACCGTATTTCATGATAATAGTTTTATATATTTGCCTTTGGTCTTTCTCATGTTTGTTTATAATGTTTGCAGGCTTCATAGATGTTGTTATTGAGTCTGGCTCAAACCCCTCCCCCGTGAAGATGTTCAGACATGGTGCATTTATGAAAGAAAAATACTTTCAAGTCAATTGATTTTGAATTGAACAATTGTTGTCTTTTCTCTTTACATTTGTATATATGTTTTACTAGTTCCTTCCTGTCATTCAGCATAACACATGCTTAGGTAGAACTTACTCATTGTGCTCACATTTTATTTTGTACCTTAAGATTCCAACAGTATATTTACCCTGTTAATGGGTTTTTAGGCGCTTGCACTGTACATAATCTTAATCCTCATACACATACAGACATGACACCTTAGGGAAGCAAAGTGGGACTGTCAAACTCATCTCAACATTTCTTGAAACTGTTTTGCTATAGGCGTGAGTGAATCTCATTCATTCAAAAACGATCCCAATTTAAAACTGAAAAGGCACTTCATCTTAATCCCAAAATACTTAAAATCTGTCTTAATATTTTGGTTTTGAGTGGTTTCCTTGGTGCTGCACACGTGAGCACGAGGCCCCTCCTCAGAGTCCATTCGGAGAGTCTATAGCAGGGGTGGCCAACCAGTCAGAGACTAAGAGCCAATTTTTTTTACTGTGTTACAGCAAAGAGCCACATCATACAAATGTGCACTACATAAACATCACCCCAACCCTTACACACGCACGCACACGCGCACGTACTGTACGCACACGAGCAGACACGCGCACACACATGCAATCTGTCTGAGCAGAGAGAGGTGTGCTCTGCTCAGACAGATTTATTGTAAATGTCATCAACATGATAATGACAGAAATTGACTCGTACAGCACTAAAGGGCTGGACTCGACTCTCCCTGATATTTGCTACAGCTGAGGTAGCAGCTGCAGAGTGATTGACAGCGCATCTGACCAACCAGAATTGACGTTCGCCGACGTCAGATTGTTTTGGTGGCCTGGCTAGTGGAGTGAAGTCGGCCTTTACTATTGGTCAGAACTACATATGGAATGAAAGGCAGCGCCACCAACGAGGCGTTTTTGACGCTTGTCATGTGAAAGCCCAAGAGCCGCACGGAACCAGCCAAAGAGCCGCATGCGGCTCACGAGCCGCGGGTTGGCCACCCCTGGTCTATAGCTATGACCCGCCCCTCCCCTTTTCACTACTTCTTCTTTCTCCATCGACCTTGGCAGCTTTCACACCTCCTCCACTGAAATTTGTGGCTCTGGCTCCAGGGCAAAGTCTGCATAGCAACACACATCGGCCCCAGCGCCAGTGGCAGCCGTATATATTAAGGGGGGAGCTGAGTTGCCAAAAGGATGCGGTTGTCATAGCGATCCCTCACGTTGCATCATCTCTCAAATGGTACCTGAAAGCATCCCCCCACTTCCAGCGTCCCCGCCAAAACACGCTCACTTATTCATGACAGACCACACCCAAATCTCTGTAACAAAACCACAAATGGCCTTTAATGTCACTGTATATTTTTAACGCTTGGATGCTGATACTCTTATCATGTAGGAACAGACATAATTTATGCCTCAGCCCACTTGAATCCAATCCTAAAGCAGTTCTACATACTGTTGACCGCTGCTCACGCCTCCATCCACTGTACTTAATGTCTGCCACTCATTTTCAACAACACACTAAAATCATTGTCAAACATTTGTTTTATTTATTATCTCCCTAAATATTGTTTTTATAGGTTTTAATCAAGTGTAGGTAGTGTTCCAGACTTGCCAATTTCTCTAACAACGCATTTCCCAATTCTCCAAACTGAAAGTTGGTATATATTAAAGAATATAATGAGTAAAGCAGAAGAAAGTGGGATGGATAATGGTATAAAATGAAACCCTTCTTTAACAAATGTTTTTATGTTTGTTTACCTCCAGGGACGCAGTGGTAAAGTGCTTCACTACATGCGTAAGTTAGGATGGCTGTGTCCATAAAGGACATGAAGACTGGTCCACATATGCAAACTGGCTTTGTATATACAACATTCTGTTAATTTACTGTGAATTATTGCTTTTGTAAAATCTGAACACTTCACATCTCCACATTGCTCGCTCTTTTTCTGTCACATGGGCATATTGAAGTTGTGCCTTTGACTTTTTAATATATTTAAAGATTTACGCTTTATTCAGAACATTAACCCTTTAGGCATTGTGTGTTTTCAGCATTTGATGTGAAACTTTATAAGAGAGTGAGGACGACTAAAATCAATCAAATAAATAAGACATTTGTCATTTATTTATTTAAAAAAAACAGAGGATAATATGTGTGGAAGCCTGGTCGCTGTATAGTATGTCTGGTTTCTGCTCATGTAGCAATTCTACTTATTTGGCGCCTAATGGGTTAATGTCACAATGAAGCAGGGAAATGTACTTTATGTCTTCACAAACAGAACATCTTTTCCAATTATTATTTCCAATGTTAAAACCATGTAAAAATGTGTGTTTGTTTTAAAGTATGCCTCAGCTAAGACTTTTTCTCGTGTTTGTCCAGAAATGTTGTTTTTACAGCTAAGGCTTGAGTCACTATCTGTATATGGTAATGGTAGATGGATTTTTGCATGTCTAGACTTGGAATTCTTCATTTTTTCTGCTTTTTATTGTTTGAAATGGCTTTAACATTGAGTTGTCGTTTTCAAATGAGATTTCCTTGACAGATGCAGAGTAGTCCTGCTTGGTTGCGCACTCGTGAACATACTGATTTAGACGTGACCTAATAACCCAGTGCGGTGTGGGTTTTCTCCATCGCTTCGGCATCACGGAGCACAGACCTTTGAGGATGCAGTTGTCATGGTAACCCCCTCCGGAAGCATCCCGTCCTCGTCCCACCCCCATCTGTGGTGCAGATGTTCACATTATCTCAATGAGAAGGTGTAGGAAAGGCTATTTAGAGCAAACCCTTGAAGCAGCAGCAGAAGCAAGGTTCACAAAACAAAGCTGTTTTTTTTTTTCTATAGCAATACTTTGACAACGGGCGCTATGGAAAGATGCCAGCAGATACATTCCTGCTTTTGGGAAGTACAGTACATTTAGGTAGAGCCCTGAAGCTTTATCAGAGACTACTATAATACACAAATGTTAGAAAAACTAGGGAAAGTTTTGTGGGAAGCCAGGTCACTGCATAGAAAGTGTTCTGGATTCAGGAGCTCATGTGTACCTTTGTCCACTCAAGGGTTCACAACATCTGAATGAGAAGCAGTGGAAACAATAATGACTCAGTTTTTTTCTAATTTAATGCTTTACAAATTGACTACTCATTTTTTCTGCATTTTACTCATGATTTTTATAAATATATATTAGTTAATCTGTACCTTTTTTCAACAGTGAATATAGTTTGAAGAGCTTTCCCACCTCTGTTCAAATTCATTTAAACTTTTCACTTTCCTCTATTTCCTTTTATCCATGAGTCTTGGCCATGTTGTTTTGGACCCGATTGTGTAACGTGGTTGCGGATTAGCGCAGACCAAATCTTCTTTTGGCTGCGTTTGTACAACTAACTTGGCAACAAACCAGCTAATCCCATGTGCAAAATTGTTGGCCTTGGTAAACAATAGAGCGTGTTAAGTCAGGATGGAGTCGATGGACATGCCTTAAGCGGGGAGATTCTGTTTATTGTGCACAGTTCAGAGGTGCCCATGGACTCTGTTGCATTTAATCTCCACGGTTATGTCAGAGACCTCCCAGCAAATACAAAAACATCATGCTCAGATTAAATATGTGTTTGGGGTATTATTCAGTTCATACATTTTGAGGAATACACACCAAGTAGATTTATTTGGTTTTGTCTTAAATCTTGTTTTGATAGTGATAAACATTGCACCAAACGCTTTTTTAATCCCCATGTTTTCAAGAGCTAAAGAAATATCTGAATGAATTGGCTCTCCTTTTGTAAAAAAAAAACACTGCTCCTTTTCAGATCTTTATTTTGGGGCAAATACTTTCTCCATAAGTACTAGATTCTAACTTACAGTAGTCATTTTTTTGTCATTTCAATATTTTTTGCCTCCAAAAATGACAATTATTTAGTGGTGGTTTTCAAACAGTCACACAAATTAATCTGTTTTCATTGCACAATATGAATAGTAAATATTGACTCAAAGTTGTTGTTTTCATGGCACATTAGAGGCTGTGGTCCTGTGTTGATTTACATGACTATAATGTGTTTGACATAATGTACAGATCTGAACACCCTCAGGCAGTATCCAATAAAAGTGTCTTAAAAGCGGTACATTCTCATTTATTGATTTTTCTTCCACATCACAGAAGATTACACTTAGGTCCACTGCTATATGTGGGGTTTAAAAACGCAACAAAAAAAACAATGGGCTTTTTGTATTCCTCACATTTTATCAGTCTTCAAGAACTTGGGCATTCTTGTGTGTTGGTTAATAATTGTTTTAGAAAATATCATTGTTTTTTTTAAATATTTTTCCAGCTCAAATACAGAGATTTCCAGAGGCAGAAAACAGTCATTATGCAAACTACTTGGCTGATTCATTAATGTAATCACACACGTTTGCATATACTATTATAAAACCAAGCCTTTGTTTGATAATTTGATCTTTGAGCAGTTACAACAGCCTCTTAACAATGAATGCTGGACTGGACATTCCTTGTTTAGTCCGGTGGCTAAACAAGAAAAGTGACTTCATATAGTTGATATTGGCTCAAACCCTGAACAGAAATAAGCACAAACTACTACGACAGTGACATCATTCATTCATTCATTGTCGCCATTTTGATTTCTTGTATGCCAGTCAATGACCAATCATAAGTCAAATTACCCACGTGCCATAAACATTAGATTATGGACACTTGGCTTATCATAATCTATTTATTCAGTGTGATCTATATTTACAGTGTGAAAATGTCACTGTGATTCCCCCTTAAAAGTGACAGTTCCACGCACGCAGTGGGAGGAGGTATCTGAACCTGGTGAAATGACATCACACACATTTCATGGCTTTGTTGGTGCGTCCCGTAGCCACGCCTCCTCCCGGCGCGTCCATAAAGTGCTGGCAGTCGCGTGTGCGCACTAGTTGAATAGCAGCAGTGTGGACAGGTGCGTGTAGCTGCCTGCTGCTGTCACGCTGTCGGAGAATGAACTGTTGGGCACATTTCGTCGCAGGCCTTCCTCTTCTGCACTTTGGACTTGTATTTTGTTCCTGATTTCCTCCAGACGCGCGCGCAAAAATGCCTTTTCCTCCCATCAGCCTGCACCAGCGCATCTCTTCTCCAGGCAGGGATTTATTTGGGAAGAAGAAACCCAGCGCTGTGCCTACTCAACCAGAGCTCACCAGCAAACCGGGAGCGGATAAGATTTCGGAAAAGGAGAAGCAGCCGTCGCCCTGGACAGCTGCTAATTTACGGAATCTCGGGAGAAAACCTCAGCAGGAGAAGAGCAAAAGTCCGTTTCACAAAGCGGACGATCCTCAGGGAAAGTGGCTGTCTGTGCCCAAACCTCAGGAACCGTGCGAAGTGGTGAGACGCTCCACTTCTATGGACTCAGCGAAGCCACAGGGGAAAGATGAAGCCAAGAAGGACATTCAGTTTACTCTCAGCCTGACCCCAGAAGCCATACTCGTGATTCAGAAACGCAACTTAGAAAAGCAGATGATGGCGAAGCAGCAGAAATGTTGCGCCGCGGCGGACTTCAGGCACCGGCGAGTTTTCCCGTCCAAAAAGGCGCAAGGGACGAGCAAAGGATGCGTCCCCAGCAGCGCGTCAGGGAAACCAGACCCCCAAGAACAGGACATCACTGCCATAGTCAAAATATCACTGTTAAATGACCAGTACAAGTACGATGACGTGGAGTATGAGGATGAGGATGGGGGCGTGGATGAGACGGTGGTGAGGAAATGTAAAGAGTGGCTGAAAGGGGTGGAAAACGCTGCCGCTTTGGGGAAAGTGGACAAACACGCTGCACTTCCGCATCTTAAAGGATGCTGACACCTGACACTTGGAGACTTTTGTTGATCTCTGGACTTTGCATAATGCCTCTTGTAATGGCATCTCAATTAGACACTCAGAAGACGTGTGCGTAAAAGAGAAAAATAGCCTATGTTAAAGCTATCACATTGTCACGTTGTCTATCAAAGCAAAGCAATGCAAAAAAAATGCGTTATTCTGCACTCTAATGTTGCTGTGTGCGCTCCACGGGAAGGGTGGTGGTGATTTGCCTATTGTTTATTTGAATTTAAACACCTTAATGATATTTTTAATGATATTTGCACATGTTTTTTTGTGGTTGGGGGTGCGCATGCGGATTGGCTCTGCGTAAAAAAAACACGGACGTGAGTTTGGATGAGTTCCTTTGTGCTGGAGACAAAAGCCCTTTACGCGCCTGCCTCTGAAACCAAACGCTGTTGTTGACTTTCTCTCCTCATAATAAGAGGCCTCTGCGGATTCTCAGCGTAATATACAGTATTTAATATGGACCAAATATTTGTACTGTCACTGCTGAATATTTTCTGCCTTTTGAAGTAAAATGTTTTGTAATTATTTAAACCTAAAGTCTTCTGTAGTTTTCTTCCCACATAATGTCTTTTACAAATTGATTTAAAGGACCTTTTAGTCACTGTTTCTACCTGTGGCCAGTTGGGCATTAGTGCAGTAAGCTTCTTAGATTTCCTGTTAAGCAGGTCGACCAGAGTGTAGTGGCCACTGTCCAGGTGCATGATCCGTCAGGAAATTAGCCTCAGCCCACTTTACTATCATGGCAATATCCCAAACACTGCTGCCACGGTCTCGTTGGGAGTTACCTGTGTGTAGGGACATATGAAACGTAACTACAAGCATTAGATCTGCATAAACTCAATGAGGACAGCTTGAGGCAACAGAGGTCTGGGAACAGGCCTGTGTTGTAGCAAACAATAAAGCTGAAGTTTATTGTTTTCTGTAACTTAGTAACAGTCTTTATTTCTGAGCCTCACACAAATGACAACAGACAGGAATGTTGGATGGGTAGAAAACTTCATCCACAGCAACTGGTAAGACTCTTATTTTTAATAATGTGACAGTATACATACTTCAAATCTCGGGTGGATATTGAAAGAGTTTCATTAAAAAAGTACAATTAAAAAAATAGGGACATCTTTTTATTTTTGTATGGACCAATTTTATCTTAAGTCTGAAATAAAGATTAATAATAATAATAATAATTTAGACAATTTTATGCTCTATCCCAGTTCTGTTTGTGTACATTTGAGCCAAAACCCAGAACATCATTCATTACCTTATCCTTGTGATACTACTTCTGCTACTACTTACTACTACTACTTGAACCTGCTGCTACTTACTACTGAAAATCATCCTTCAAAAATCTGTCAAAACATTTTAGCTTGTTTTGCTTATGTACTGTCTGGTGCACACAGGGGACTTGTATTCCAATGTGGTTTTACTGCAAATGGCAAATAATTAAAACAAATAATCTGAAAACTAGACTGAAACCAAGCTCTGAGCTCTGTTTAACATATACTGTACATATAGCGTAGATTACATTTTACAAGAAAATTACAATAAAATAATGTAACTTCAAGGACAAAGTTTCCTATTTCCATATGTGCGTGTGGTCGATGCTGTCAGTGGTGTCACATGAGAGCAGTATTGTGAGCTCATGTGTGGAGTCGTACGGCGTGTACCATCCTCTGATCGCCTCATCAACAACGGACTTCATCTCAAACTGGTGTAATCCTTTTCTGACAAAGTCTCTCTTATTTCACTCCCAGTCTGCCATCTCTCAATGCTCAACACACAAGCAATCAGTGGGGTTTTAAGAAGTGAATGCATTTTATCGGAGTAGTAAAAAAAGCAGAAACAACTGGACTAAGCCTGTTTTGTATTTGCTGTACACACACTTTCTTGTGAGTTAACTTTTCAGGTGTTCATCTAAATGTTGTTGTTTTGTTTTGACATTAAACGTGATTATCTACATCACAAACAAGCGAGTGACATCACCAAGGTCACTTACAGATCACATCTATGGAGAGGTTTTTGCGCCGTATTAATATCTGTAATTAAAAGATGCACATGTTTTCCTCCAGACTGTGAGCCCTGTTCCCAGTAAAGAAATAGCATCTACAGTATCTCCATCCCCAACAAGCAGGTCCTGGACTCCAGCAGAAAAGATGTGCAGTGCTCCTTTAAACAAAATGTGTCTTACCCTTTCTCACGTTGGCCTTGTTTTCTTCTGATATTTTCTTCCTTACTGTCAGGTCTTGATATATTCCAGGTCCAGTTGAGTTGACAGTGAAGAATGGGTAATATCCAGTGTCCTACAAGAGCAATAACGTTTATGAGCTTAGTCTCATATTGATAAAGTGTGTTATTACTGCTGTTGCTATTTTATTGGCATGTTCCCGTTTGATTTAAGGCTTGGGTATTTCGTTTTAAAACTACACAATATCGATCTGTGCTTGACAATCCATGTAACTAGTTTCTGGCTCTAAAGTCCGTTTGTTTTATCACTGGTTTTCACATTAATGTGTTTTTGGCCTCAGTCACATCTTTAGTTTCAGAGGAAAGTGAAAAGGAGACACCATTGTCTCTCGACCAATCAGCTCTCTGACACTTTTGTCACAGGGCTCTTTCTTACAAGTATTGCAAAGGATGACATGGTTACAAATGAAAACATGATAGCTAAAATATATGTTGAGACAAACTGAAAATATTATTGATAAAACAAAGAAAGTTAGGTACTCAAGCTTTAAACAACATCCTTTGCTGCCTCTGGTCCAACTCCTCACAGTGTCTCTGCCAAAATGACGTCCCAGAGTGAGACAGCACTTTTGTTCTGCATAGATTTACAGAATCATTGGACACGTTTGCTCGGTCACTGATACCATCCTGCGACAGAGCTCTGTGCTCTGCCAGTATCACTGTGGCAACACAACTGATGGCTTCCCGTCTTTTGTAAAAATGTGTGCGTTGTTGAAGAGACACACGGCCCATAAACCCGCAGTCATTGTGCAGAGGAAAGCAGGCTCTTCCCAGAACGGGACAAGGACAGTGTCACACAAATTCAAATCAAATGTTTGTAATGTGTGTATGTGTTTAGAAGAGTGTGTGGAAAAATGGCACACAACACTGAAGAGCTGTTCAGTCGAGATGAAGAGATGACTAAGCGGCATTTTTCACACTTGTGTCACTGAGCAACAATAATCTACTGTTATCTATTGCCATAGAGTCGTCCAGACACTACTCAGATTACAGAACATTTAGAATATACATGTTCCAATTCATCTTTGCATAATGCAGAACAAATACCTATATATTTCAAGTAAGAAAAAATGGATTACAGATAACTATTGTTGTGTCTATACATGGATACAGTAAGAATTGTATTTACAGTATAGATGCATGATTTATAAATACAATCCCTAGAGATTCACGGCAATCGTATAAAGATTTGGGATGATGTCACTAATGTCCTGTCGGCTACGGCTTTGATTCCACCGGGATCCTCAACATAATCGATAATAACTTGGATAATCAGGTACTCACTATGCACACCTCACTACTCAAGGATTTAAGTGTATAAAAGATTCTGAATGCCAATGCAAGACATGTGTATTTCTGTAGCACAATCCATGAACAAACCACTTTACAATATATCAAATCAAACAGTCAATAGAAAAAAGACTGAACAATTCGCAACATGTCTCATCAATGCTGGATTTTATTGTTTTTATTGTGTTTAAATATCATAATGTACTGAAGCATATACACCAGATAGCACTACATCCATATATACAATGGATCAGCACAGAAACGCAGATCAAATGAGAGATGGTGACAAACAGATGGTAAAAAACAAACAAATAATTCGATAAAGCACTGCTCTATTGTGTCATCTTCACTTTTAAACTTCACCACCCTGGACCCAAGTGTGTGTTCTGTTAATCCCTGTTGGCATGCCAGCCTCTGTCTAGCATTTCTCCATCATGAACGATTACAACTTCCTTGTTTTGATCTCCTCTGCTCTTTATTTACGACAAGTCCACATCCGGCCTGTGATGTCACAAAAATCTGTTCCCAAAACTTCCCTTCGCAACATCTGCCCAGTGTCATTACGGCTCCTTTATCCGACCACTTCATCTCCGCAGATTAACTAAGGTCAGCACTGGCCAACAGCAGATCTATGCAGACAGTGGATCCGCGCTGTCTTAAAAGCACCACTTATAAAGAGAAGGGCAGGGTTGTTGCCCCAAAATATTGGTTGAAAATTATAGTCCACAGTTTATGATAGAAATAGATCAATCATAATTATTGTCCAGTGTAGAATGATATGCTCTGTAAATAGTAGAACTGTTAAGAATTAAGATATTTTATTTACACTTTGAGCCAACTTTGCACCGTAAGCCAACACAAATTTCTAGTTTGTGACGTCATGTTACTTACAATAGTAAAATAACAAGAAATCTGATTCCGATTTTAATAAATAGACTTTATTGATAATCTGATCTAAACGTCTGTGTTTGTTGGTAATTTATATATTCGTACCTTGTTTGGTCCATCTCTGTTGTGGTGATAAACTGTTGAAACTCAAAATAGTTCAAAAGTCAATTTACTTCTGTAATTCCATGTGAAACTATTATGATCGACTCATATCAAGCCTTTAATTGTTTAGATTTTGATCAATGGGCCTTACAGCTTGTACAAACCTTAAATGTATTATTTTTAATGTATTGTTTATTTGGTTGGGACAGTAATATAATAAATCATAGAAAACAATAGAATATTGATAAGTGACTGTAAGCCATAATCATCAAAATCATTAAGGCTTTTGTAATAAACTAAGTATCATATATTGGTTGTTGAAGTATAGAAATATTTTTTTATATTATAAACATATATACATTATTTTTTTATAGTTTCACCTGTAAATCACTGTAATGGATTTGAAAAGAAACAAAAACAATTTCAGAGTGTTTACTAAGATGTAGGAATTA